GGCAATTAGACAAGAGAAAGAAATAAAAGGAATAAAGATAGGCAATGAAGAAGTCAAATTGTCATTATTTGCAGATGACATGATACTGTATATAGAAGACCCCAAGAGCTCCACCAAAAGTCTTCTTGACTTAATAACCAAATTCAGTCAAGTAGCTGGTTACAAGGTCAACACACAAAAATCAATAACTGGTAAAACACTCCTCAGTTTGATCCCAGTACTGCCCAAAACAAAAATCTAAATGTCCTACACTTTTGGATTGATCTGTGAAAAATGATTAATTTTTTTAAACCATAGTAGCACTATCACAAACATATTAAAAAACAATTCCTTCACTGAATCATAGTTTAAGTGTCCACTCCTCTTACATTGCCCCTGGCACATGGAAATGATGGACCACTGTGTCTTAAATGACTTCCATAATGGATCATGATAACACACCGTTCATATCTCCAATATGGATCCAAATGTTAGATATTATAATTATTCATTGAATTAGATTTGTCCCCAAATTTAAGCATTTCTATAGTGCTATAGTAATTATCTGTTTACAGCAATAACCTCAGCTCTCAGAGATCCTGGCCATGGGAAGGATTCCATAAGTATTGGAGGAGACAGAGGAAGGAAGCAATGACACGCACAAGAACATGCATCTCAACTCTGTCCTCTATAATAGGAAGCCTCAGGGGGTCATTATGGCCCCCACGTACCCCTATTCCACCCCTAGGCTGAGTTTGCATGGAGAGGGAATTTTGTCTGTTTTACATTTTGTTTTTGTTTCTGGCATCTGGAGGAGTGCCCAGTACATAGAAAGAGTTTTTAAAATATTTATGGAGTGAATGAATGAATGAGGAGACAACCTTGATGCTAGCCAGAAACATGATGAGTTGACTTTCCATTCATAAATTAAAATGTTACTATATCGTTATTTTTTATGTTTACCTGTTTTCACAAATTTTTTTTCTGATAAATTAAGCACTTAGATAAGCAGCCATTATTTGTGTTCAAAGGAAGATGTGTTCCTCTAGGAAGATGTTTCAGTTTTGATCTAATATGTCTCCCCAGAAGTCTCATGTGGGCAGAGGCCTGGCCTGGCTGGAGGGGGTAGGCCACAGGGAGCATGACCTGAAAGGATGTATTCTTGTCCTCAGCTCCTCCTTCTTTCTCTGAGCAGCCTTCCTGCACCATATTCTTCCACCATGCTGTTTACACCTTGGAGCCAGCCAACCTTGGACTGAACTCACTGAAACCATGAGCCAAACAAACTTTTCCTTCTTTAAAGTTGCAAGTGTTGGGTATTTTGTCCCAGCAACAGGGAAGTGGCTGATACAGAAGTAGATGCTACTTACTGTCTTAAAGAAAATCCTAATAACCAGTGATCTGCTGGGAACTTTGTTTCAGTGCAAGAGTCTCCGGTGTTCATGGAGTCCTCGGTTGCCCCATCCAAAGGCACAGAGTATAACCTGGTGTAATCATCTTTCTGCGAATGGAGACTCAACAATCAGAATTCTTGCTCCTTCCTACAAGGTAATTAGATCTGTCACCAGACCTCCCAGAGGGAGCATGTGTCTGGTGGGAAAATCTGGGTAATCCAATTTTTCAAGGTGGCAACTGTGCTCTCCTCCACGTCCTCGGCTCAAGAGCTGAGTTGAATTGATCCTGGCCTGGAGATGTGAGTGTGGACTGCTTCCTGTGTCCACAAGCTTCGGGCAGTGGAGTAGAAGTCTTTAATGAATCCTATTCGTCTTTTCATCTGGCCTAATAGTCACTGTCTTCTCAGAGGCAGAGCATTAGATCTGCCTTTGCAAAAGTTGGATCCATAACTTCCATGATGAAACTGCCATGCTTCCGTCACTTCTGGGTATTGAGCCCTGAGCAGCCAAATCGTTGGTGCTTGCTAGTCCAAAATAAGACAGTGCTGAGTAGTGATGAAGTGAAATATAAGAAGGCAGCTGTGAGATTTCTGTCTCTTCCCCCATTCACGCCTGCTTTTACACTCCTCCCAAAACTGCCTACCTTTCCTCAAGTGGTCTCTCTTTCCCAGAGTGCTTCAAGTTTGGATGTTGCCTAGAGACCATCATGTCCTGGTGCAAAACAATCTGATAAAGAGATCCATCCTAGAATTTTAATGACAGCCTATCACTTTATTCGAGGCACACACATTAACTAGGGAAATTCTAATTCATCTTTCATTCTCACTAAATTATTACATTTCCCAGGCTGGGTTTGAACTTGCAGCCCCACTGTGAGCTCAGGAATTGTTTCTCCAAGTTCCCTGCATGGACCGAATGGTATGTGTCCTGTGTCAGTGCCCCAACCCCAATACGGTTGTGCCTGGGAGTTGGCCCTGTGGGGAGTAATTAGGTTGAGATGAAGTCACTAGCATGGAGGCCCCAGGAGAGGGACTGGTGCTCTTGTACGAAGAAGACAAGGTCCGAGGTCTCGTGCCTACTGTGTGAGGGTCCTCCAAGAAGGCAGCTCTCTGTAAGTCAGGAGGAAAGACCGCATCAGGAGCTCAGTCCTGCTGGTACCCTCACCTTAGACTCCTAGCCTCCAGAATGTAGGAAATCAATGTTCCTTAACCTGCCCATTCCGTGGTATCTGGTTACAGCAGCAGGAAATGACTGAGGCATTCTGGGTGACTGAATAAAAGCCCCTTCTCATTAACATTAAAATTACAGAGAAAATAAGCTTAGGAAAAGATGGTCATCATTTTGCAGCACAAAATGAATAACTAGAAAATAGACATCCATTTAACCTGGTTTGGAAAGTGCATAATTAAAATGAAAATCATCTATAAGCTGAAATTTGCTTTTTGCTACTTTATCTTTAAAATGTACCTGATTCCGGGCCGGGGATTTAGCTCAGTGGTTTCGTCTCCTGCTGCACAACCACAAGGACCCGAGTTCGATCCCTGGTACCAAAAAAAAAAAAAAAATGTACCTGATTCCATAGATCCATATTTATTTTCATTCCTGAGTCTAAATATGGAAAAGTAATGCTATTAGTTGAATAGAAAATTTTTACCTATTATACTTTTTAGTCAACAGAAAATTGGTTTTAAAAATATAAATGACTCTTTTAAAAGTATAAATGACTTGGGGCCGGGGATTTAGCTCAGTGGTCCCGGCACCTGCCTCGCAAGCGCAAGGTCCCAAGTTCGATCCCCAGTACCAAAAAATATATATATATATATATATGTGTGTGTGTGTGTGTGTGTGTGTGACTCTTTTTTGTATGTGGTATTTGTGATTGAAGCAGAGCCTTCATAGGACTACCTCCCTGTCTCTCCCACATAGGTTTTTTTGGGGGGTGGAGGGGTAGATGTTTGTTTGTTTGTTGAGACACAGTCTCACTAAGTTGTTAAATTTCCTAGTCTGGGTTTGAACTTGCAATCCTCCTGCCTCAGCCTCCCAGAGTCCTGGGATTACATGTATGTGCCACTACGCTGGCTATAAATGTATACAAATATGTTCACTATATGAACTATATGTATACACACATACATGTATACAAATATGTTCATTATATGAAACTATAATATGATTCACACATTTTTCACCCACTAAATTAACAAAGATCAAAAAATGTAATAATTCACTGTGTTGGCAAGTTTGAGGACAAGAATGTTTTTATTTCTTGCTAGTGGGAGTGCAAATTAACAATGGCATGGAAGACAATTAAGAAATACCTCTCAAAATTAGAAAAGCACATATTCTTAAGCCTAATAAGTCTTCTTCTAATAATTTATGCTACAGATGTTTCTATGTTAGTATGAAATAAAGTGTGGAAAAGGTACAAATTGCAGCATGAAAAACAATGATCAACCATAACCTAAAAGTTCTCCAACTAAACAAATTATGGTAAATTCAGTAAAGGCCATGGCCACCCACATTAAGTGGAAGAAAGAAAGGCACGGAAGATTGTTACATTAAGGGTGGGCTATGGGTCCTGCTGAAATAACACCACCTTACAATAACAACCGGGTAAACAAGAAATTTTATTTTTTCTCATATAACAGCCCAGAAATAAGGAACCGAGAGCTATCATAGTAGACACAGTGTCAGACCCCTACGCTCCTATTTTCCTGCAGCTGAGCCACCTTGGCAACGTGGACTCATTTTCCTCCATTCCTGTTAAAGTGGAAGGGAAGGAAGGAGAGAGAGGGGTGGGGAACAGAAGGTGCCCAGGGCTCAGTCTCAAAGTCAGCCCTGGGTCACACAAGCTTCCAGGGAGCCAGATGACGTGGTCGCCAAAGTGGGTGCCCAGGTAGCTAGAAAAAGCAGTAATTTACTTGACACAGAAGAAAGAGAGAAAGAAACTTAAGAGAGCACTAGCCCTGTGTTACACAGGATATTGTGTTAAAATTTGGGCTTAAAGTAATAAAACAATATACACAATTACAATGCATAAAATAGCAACAGCTCTAGAGGACACCCAGAATCTATTAATAATGGCCACAATTGAGAAAAGGTGTAGCCAGCAGGACCTACTTTTTATGTTCACCTGTCCCATGTCCTAATGTGTACATGTATTACGAAGTCAAAAAGTAAATTTAATTTAAAAGAACCATGTCTAACACAAAGGAAAACTGTGTCAAAATGTTACTAACATTTCACAACATTACAGATATAATCCAGTATTAAAAGTGAAACACACAAAAATGTATTACCTTCCTAGGTAAATCTAAAACCCTGGCAAATAAGTAAAGTAGAAGTCTACCAGCAGAACTTCAAAATGTGATTTGTAAGGAGCCAGGGGGGAGATTACCAGCTTCACATTCCATTCTTTGCACATAAAATCCTACTTTGAGATGATATTTTCCCTGTTGTTTTTTTTTTTTTTGGTACCAGGGATCAAACTTGGGACCTGACACTTGGCAGGCAGGCGGTGGAACCACTGAGCTAAATCCCCAGCCCCTTTTCCATTTTCATTAGAATATTGGGACCAGTCCAGATACACACCCTGGGCTCCAGCTATGCCAATTGAGAACTAATGAACCTAGAAATCATAGAACATTAATACATTGTCCCCTCAAGTTACAACTAGCCTGACATAGGAACGACTTGGGTTAGAACCGAAATTTAGTTTTAACTTACAAACAAAGCCTTGAGTTACAACCCAAACGCTGGCCGCTTGTGCTTCCAGATGGTGTCAGATTAACCTTTAAAGAGTCTGGAAGGAACCTGACAGCATCCTTTCCTGTGTGGGGTTTACTGAGAAATCCTGGGCCAGTGTCTCTCTAAGGACACTGAGATCTGCCTGTACACAGGAGAGAGACTTCAAAAGCTATGTAAAGGAGCCTGAGCCTTCATTGACCAACTTGAGTTACAGCCAGCCTTCGAGAATGGATTGAGTTTGTAAGTCAAGGTCCACTGTACACAAAGCTGCTTCACATCATCTGCCTTTGCCTGTGTTTCCTCTGCTTGGAAGGTGTCACCGGGTCCCCTGGGAACCTCACTCCTCCATCCTGAGTCCTCAGTTGCTAGCATCCTTCCTTCTACCTCCGGAAGTGGCTAAATCCTGTTACCCACCAAGGGTCAGTTCTCCGCCTGACAGCCAGTACTGGAGGTGAGAGTGGGTAGGAAGGAAGTCCATTGAATATGATGATTTAGCTGCTGGTACAATGTCCAGACTCCCGTCCTGATACCATCCCCAGAAAATCAGGTGTATGAAAGGGTCTGAGGATGGAGAGAAGTGGGGTATCAGACAGAAGAGGTGCTGAGTCACACTTGGCAGCTGTGGGCCATCTTTGTCATTCAGTGAATGTTTTCCTTTCTCCATAGTCTGGACATTAATGCAATTACAAATGACTTTTGTCTCCTGGGTGCATGCTAATAATCCTTTTAGGTAAACACATCATTCTCCTGCAAGTTAAACATTATTCTTCTTTTAATTAAAGAACAGAATGAGGGCTGGGGATGTAGCTCAGTGAGGTGGATGCCTGGCAAATGCAAGGTCCTGAGTTTGATCCCCAGTACCAAAAAAAAAAAAGAGCAGAATGAGAAAGTCCTTGTTCTACACATGATGCTGCTGAAGACTACCATGGATTACTGGTTCTGAAAAACTAAAGAAAGATTATAATTATATAATTTGTCCCCCTTTCCTTGGAATAGTTGGTTATTAATATCTCAGCCATTTAAAGTAGGTTTTCTTTTACAAATTACAGCACCAGGTAAAGGGGAAAACAAAGGATGACTGGACAAAGGGCAATTTTGCAAAGTAAAGCTGATCTTCAACTGTGGAGTACATTTTCTCTTCTGAGAGCCCCTAGAAGCACTTCTGCTTGGGCCATCTTGGATTACTTGATTATTTATAGAAGACAATCTGGGCATGGTCGTGCATACCTATGATATCCCAGCATTCAGGAAGCTGAGGCAGGAGGATCGCAAGTTCAAGGCCAGCCTGGGCTATATGATGAGTTCAAGGCCAGGCTGAACTACATAGTGAGACCCTGTCTCAAAACAACAATAAAAGGTAACCATAGTGAAGCAGGAAACTTCGAGGACCCTGGACAAACCACTCTTAACACGAAGATAGGAGCAAAAAGAGGCTTTTAATGCTGGCAGCTCAGCGAGTGATTCCTGTCAGTCACAAGATCCCCGAATAGAAGTTTTCACTTCCCTATGTACCTCTTTTTACATCTATTTTGTTTTGTTTTTGGTACCGGGGGCGGACGAACTCGGGTCCTTGCATTTGCGCTTGCGCAGAAGGCAGCGAAACCACTGAGCTAAATCCCCAGCCCCTCTTTTTACATCTAAAAAGCTTAATTCCTTTGGAGTTTCCCTGGGAACATAGCAAGCAGGATTTACACAAAGCAGAGCAATGGAGAGGGTGTAAAGCAAAGAATTCTGGCAGAACTTTCTGAGTCCTTTACAACCCTTTGGCGACAGATTGCAGAAGTTGTCATGGCTGCTCAAGTGCATTCCACAAAGAGCACAGTTACCTGGTTAACCATCATTCCACATGGAGGGGTGGCCTCCTCTCTCAATAGAGACAGGCTGAGTTTGGAACAAAGTTACTGTGGAGTAAAGTCCAAGATATCTTTCCTCTTACAAACTCTATGACTTTGGATAAGTTCTCTAACCTCTCTGGGACCAGCTTTATTTATGTGTTCATAGGATTGCCAAGTTCCCAATCTTGAAGTATTTAATTTACTACTTCAAGTTGATATACACTGGGAGTAATTGCCACTCATATAAATGTACTTCTTCTTAATATATTACTTTCTTTTAATGTAATTTTAATAATATGAGAGCCCATCTAATGTAACATTTTAAACTATGACCGATTTTTGTTGTTGTTCATTTGTTTGTTTTTTGAGACAAGGTCTCTCTATGTAGCCCAGGCTGGCCTCGAACTCACAGCAATCCTCTGCCTCAGCCTCTCAAGTCCTGGGATCACAGGTGTGTACCACCACACCTGACTTGTGACATAGATTTTTAAAGTTAAAGTTTCCACCATACATTTTCTCACTGGGTCTATAAATTTTCATTAAATGTGTCCATTATTTTTTCCTTAAGTGATCTGGGTTCCCTGTCTGAAAAGCAGAGGTAATTCATACCCATAGTTGCACAATGTTAGGCCTCAAAGGCCTTATTTATCATTCTCCTTCCTGTGCCTAGCACAGGCCCAGCCTGCCTGGGGATTCATTACAGATTTGCTGAATGAATCTAAAGCCCAAAGGGGTTTGACAATCACACTGAAGAACTATTGCTAACAAGGACTTTTTAATCTCATTGAGATAACACAGAAGAAGGAAAGGCAGAAGAGCAAACCGGAAAATCCTAACTAAAAACAGACTGCAGCTGCCAGGTATGGTGACACACACCTGTAATCTCACCACTCGGGAGGCTGAGGCAGGAGGATGACTGCATGTTTGAAGCCAGCCTGGACAATATCATGAGTTCAAATTCAGCCTGAACTAAGTAGGGAGACCCTGTCTCAAAAACAAAACAAAACAAGAAAAAATGACTACAACTTTCAGGACTCAGTTGTAGTCCCCCAAGGTGACCCAGGTCAGCATTTCCTTGGTTAATTCAGGCTCCTTTCCCACCACACGTGTCATACCCTGAATTCCTCCAGAATACAGCAAGTCTATAAACCAGCTTAGTTGAAAAAGTAAAGAGCAGGAACCTGATCTTAAGGCAAAGGAACAGGTTGAGAGAATTCAAAGAATGCTTAAATTAAAAAAGAGAAAAACACTGAGCTCATTCCTGTAAAAATGACCCACACCCTTCCGGGGATCGGCTACCTTTTCCTGGGGTTTCCACCCCTTCAAGAGAAGCATAAATGTTCCCAGTTCTGGGAAATACTGTGCCTCTTTCTTTTGTGGGCTCACACCCCAATTTTCTGTGCACTTTTAAAGTCCTGCCTAATAAATCCTTTCCATGCCTCTTAATGATGCATCCTGAAAATGTTTTTCCATGACAGGTGTCAGCAAACCTGCAGCTTTTCCTGCAGGTAGTGTGGGTTCAGCTTCCTTATCTCGGCTTTGGGATCCTTCTGGGACTCTGTCTGGTGACACCATGACAGCTGCAGTTTTTACATGCGGGGCAAGAAGGTCTATTTCTGAGAGTCAAGGCAGAATTTTCCCACGAAACATCAAAATACCCCCTTGACTAACCCATCGTACGAAACAAAATTACAACATCAAGACGATTGTTTTCATATATTAATGCACTGAGCTACCTCTCCAACCCTTCTTTATTTTTTATTTTGAGGCCAGGTCTCACTGAGCCACCTAAGTTGACCAGGCTGGACTTGAAACTGTGATCCTCCTGCCTCAGGCTCCCACAGTGCTGGGATTACAGGCCTGCACCACCATGCCCTGCAAGTGTTAATTAATTCTTAGTAAGAACTGGGAATTACTTCTGAAATCACTGGGAATCCCACACACACTGTATATAATATGTACCCTAAACATTTCTTGTTACAAAATCTGGCATTATGTATTCTCAGCCAAAGATTTTATTTTAATTATTAAGCCAGCAGTTGGAAACATCAAATTAAAGTCACCTGGCTCTGTGGCTGTGATCAGATTGAAATAAGACAGGGACCCCCAGGGCACAAGACCCAGGATTTGAGGGCCTTGACCCAGGACCTGTTTCCCAGCAAGAGAGCGGGATCTCTTTCCCACTGTCCCTTGCCAAGCGAACACATCACCTCTGTGCAAGGGGCAGCAGCACAGTAACAAGAGGGGAACACCAGGGGTGACATGGCCAATGGTCCATACCCTCAAAATATGAGGAACAGTTTCCAAAAAATACCATACTCAGGACCCGATGGAAAATTACCAGACCTGGGCGGACCCAGCCAGCACCCTTGAAAGTGGGTCCCCTGCTGTTGCCCACGGACAGGGCCATTTGGCAGCTCTTCTGCTCCTTTCCTCAAGATGCGGTCCCCAGCCCATTTCTTCTTTCTTCTCACAACCCCCCACCCCGAAAAGGGTTGCCAAGGGAACGCTCTGTCTGGGGTGTTTATACCCCAAGATGACTAGAGCGAAGTCAAGTTGAGATCAACCTGGGGGTAGAAGCTTCCTGTAGAACCGGGCCACCGTGGGAACACAGGATAGATAGCAAGTGTCCGTCTATAAGCACCGATAATTGTAACTTTAAACAGAACACAGGCACTCTTGAGGGAGCTGTGAATGTCTTATTTCTGGGCATGAAAATCCCACCAATCTGATGAGCCTCCAGGTATCCCGGCCTGGGTCATCACTGCATCCTTCAACAAATCTGACTCCCTCTGCTCAGCTCCTGCCCTGGCTGCCTGTCCCTCCCCTCATGGGCTGGTGTCTCTCTGAGAAAGCTTCTGCCCTGCTGGTGTTCAAGGGTCTGTGTTAGATGAGGAGGCTGAACCCAAATCCCCGGAACTGGGACCTAACCCAACCCGGCCAACACACAGGGCTAGGGGCTCCTCCTCTGTGAATGTCTTGTCCCATTCAGAGCTCTTCAGTGTGTGTTCTTTAGACAATTAGACATGATGGAGGCTTTCTGGTTTTAGGATGAAGGAGACAGGGCCAGGGGCAAAGACAGGGCTGAGTTTCGTGGCTCAAAACCCTTGCAGTAGGTTTCTCCTGTGGAGATGGGTCTCGACACTTGCTTATTAAAGATGGGGAATCGCTGAATAAAGGAGCTTCTTTAATTTTAGCCTAAGTGGTCCTCAAATGAGCTTGATCAAGGAGAGCTTTTTCTTTCCCACGATATTAAATAACGGCCTTTCAGCTCTTCATGGCACATCTGATGTGGCTTCCGAGAGCATCCTCAGAAGGAGAAAAGGGGGTTTGGTTTTGCTTTGCAGCACTGAGGATTAAACTCAGGAAGGGCTGAGCTTCATCCCTGCCCTTTCTGTACTTTCATTTTGAGAGGCGTCTCACTGAGCCATCGAAGCTGGCTGTAAACCTGTGGTCCTCCTGTCTCAGCCTCCAGAGGAGCTGGCATTACAGACGTGCACCATTGGTTCCGAGAAGAAAAAGGCGGCGGGCATGATATTAAAGCAGAAGAAGCTGCTCCGGCCCACGCGAGAGTCCGTTCCTGAAATTAGAAAAGATATAAAAGTGAAGGGTCTTGGGCAGGAGAGCATGGGAAAATTAACTGCAGCTCACAGGTGCAGGAGAACTGACCCTGCGTTCCAGGTTGTGCCTGTGGTCGCAGCACAAGGGTGACAGCGCCCTCAGCTAGCAAATGCATCTGGATTTGGATGAGGAACTATGTCGGGACACATCCTTTACAGTCAGGAGCTACCAGATGCCAGGTGACCGAGCACAACAGACCGTTAAGACAGAGTACTCGCCTAGCAGCAAAGATAGTGCAGGCCTCCTTCGAGACACAAGACGAATGTGTCTTTTAAAGGTAAAGATTTCACCAACAATCTGTGGCTCAAGAACTGTAGAATTCTTATAACCAAGACCTTCATTTTGCTATGATTTGATCACCTAAGTGCTGTAAAATTTAGGTTCAGCCCTGACGCAAGTTTAAAACTAAAAGCAACCAAGCATGGTGACGCACACTTGGAATACCAGCACTAGGAGTCTGAGGCAGGAGAATCACCTCGAGTTCAAGGTTGGCCTGAATTACATAGTGAGGCCTTGTACAAAAATCAAACAAACAGAAAACCAAACATTTTCATTTCATTTAAGCAATGCTAAAAGAATCATAAAAAGAATAAAAGTTCTATGTTCTCTTTGTCAGACATTTGTTCTATCTACAGTTTTAAGTTTTCTTAATGTTTATTTCCAAAATTATGAATAGTATTTTATATCACTTTCTTAATTCATATTTCAGTTATTTACTAAATATTAAACTATTAAAATGTCATCATGCTTAGCCTTGGAAAGAGTGTATTGTTTTTTGCACTGGGAATTTAATGTGCATTTTCAATCTAGAACAGTGATGGCAAACCTTTTAGAGCTTTCACTGATACAAGGAACTGTGGCACGTGTGCCATGGGTTCGCCACCACTGATCCAGAGTCACAGTTCTTCATTTGTGGGAAGTTTCCTGGTACTACTTAACTAACAAGATCTTCACTTCTCTGCTGCTGCAGCTTATCTTCACTGGATGTTGAACCTCCAAGGTTAGTCCTTTTTAAAAAATTTTCTTATCTATCCCCCCTGTTATGTCTCTTAGTCTTATTTTTCTAGGGACTGTCTTCATTTGGTCTGCTGACACTTCTTTTGAGTGTGTTTAACTCGGCGCTCATGGCTTTAATTTCCTGAAGCCTTTTCATAGTCAGATTGTTCCTTTTTCATAGTATCGTGTTCTTTCTTAAGGAGAATGACTTTCTAAGGATGACTTTTATCTCTAGGTGTTAGCGCTAGTTTCTTTGAAGTTTTCTTCTTCTCTTGTAGCATGTTTCCTCCCATGATTTCTGGGTGTGTGTGTGTGTGTGTGTAGCGTGGTGAAGGCCTTCCTATTGCCTGTTGTTGTTGGGGCTTTTGTTTTGTTTTGTTTTTGCTGTCCCATTTAATTTTTGTTTTGTTTTTCATTAGTACGTGTCTGCTATGCACAGTGATTACTTCCAGCTTGGGGATTCGGCACATGTGCATACTGAATGAACCTGGATCATCTTTATTCCCCTTCTCACCCCTGTCTCTCCCCCTGCCCCACACCTCCTTCCCAGCCCTGCAAAGTTCACCTCCCTGTGCATAGCTGGCCTCTTTATTTTGTCCCTTAAATTGTTTATATTTTGAGTCTCACTTTAGAGAAACCATGTTAACCTTCTGTGACTGACTTATTTCACTTAGCATTATCATCTCAAGATCCTCCCATCTTCCTATAATAAATGACTTTGTTTCTCCAGAGTCTAAATCCCTGGTAACCCCTGTAATTTGGCCCCTGGGGGAGGGATAGCTGAGCCATCAGAGCCATCTAACTCCCCTTACAGACTGTACCAGAGTCCCCCCACCCAGGGCCTGCAGGAGGGATTATCTGGCATTCCCGAGCTTCCCCACAGTCCTGCAGAGGAAATTACCTGCTTTTTCAATGGGAAATTTCTGTCAGCCCTGGAGATGAATGATGCACCCACCACAGAATGTCGCCGTCCTGTCCCCTGGAGAACATGAGAAGATCTTCCCAGTATCACTAGGAGATGGCTTAGTGCCACAGTGACTGTTTCGAGGGAACGAACTCAGCACCAATATGTTAGTGATGCAAAGATTTCCTAGAGGTGTAATTGTTGTCTACTTGCAGACAAAACCCTGTAGAGATGATGAGGGATAGAGAAATCAGAATGAAACCAGAATGAAATGACTTGGTAGCGGTGCTAACAAATGTCATCTGGACAGTAATTACCTGTCTGTTTAATGACCACTGAAAGCTCAGGGGAGGCTTTCGTTCTGCCACTGAAGGAGGCTGTCACCAACCACATTGCATGTAGCCTTGAGCAAGTCCAGAGGAATGATTTTCTAGTTAAGCAGAGACCTCTTGAGCTTTCTTACTAACTCAGACTGATATCAGAGGGCCCAGACTAATGAAAGTCTTAGAAAACACTATACATAGAACACCTAATCCAATTCTGCAAAACTGAATTACACACAAGAAAACCCTTGTTCTGCTCTGAAAGCCACCTTGAGCTCGGAAGATGCTGTCAGGAGAGCACAAAAAGCATTCTGTCCTGTTTCGGTTGCAGGTAGCCAGGAGAGAGAGGATAATAAAATGTAATGAAAGACAGCCCTAGGAAAGCGGTCACCGGCCTCCATTGGAAAACATTCTTTTTTAATTTCTAAGAGACACCAGGCACACAGCAAAAGAATAAGATGAAGGCCTTGCTCACAGGAAGTCTTAGGCAGAATGAAGATGTGCAGATATAACACAAGATGCCAGAGGAGAGAGAGTTCTACGTGGGGTGAACGTCACAACAGTTCACACCCTAAAGGATGAAAGTAGCTTTCACAGATGGAAATGAAACAGGGATGAGAAATTTCAATTCAAAGAAAAGCAGGGTTTCCAGTGGGTCAAGAGATAACTCAATTTTAGGGTTCCAGTGCAGAAACGAGGGTTTTACAGAAATATGTCTCAGGACTGGGGGTTAGCTCAGGGGTCACAAGTGTGTTTATCATGTGCAAAGCATTGGGTTCACCCTGGCACCAACACACACACACACACAACCATAGCAACTGTTCATGGGTCTCTATTTCATTTGGCCATATCTAAAAGTTTAAATTTAAAACCTTTTTTGGGGGTTTGATTTGGTTTTATGGTTGTTTTTTTGTTTTTGTTTTTTAAGACAAGGTCTCTCTATGGAGCCCAGGCTGGCCTCAAACTCACGGTGATTTTCCTGCCTCAGCCTCTTGAGTGCTGGGATGACAGCCAGGTGGCAACCATGTCCAGCGAGAAATGTGATTTTTTAAAAGTACTTTAAGATCCTCCAGCACATGGAACTAATGAAAAGGCACAAAGTGCCCTTCCTTGGAGTGGCAGCAGACATTCATGATGTAAACGCCAGCTGATCTCTTCCCTGCCAGTCTGATCAATCCCAGAAGAAATTGCTCTGCAGAAGGCAAGCTCTTCTTCACCAATAAAATCACACGATAAGCATCAGCATCAGCGCTCAAACTCACGGGCTCAGAAAGCCACTCTTTTATATCTCATAAACCCTTCTGTTTTACCCAGAGCATCTGCCACAGAATTTGCCCCATTGTTCTTTCCCTGTGGATGTAATCTCAGAATTAATCATGGCATTTCAGGTGATGTTGGTGGACAGAGCAATTCACAAATCTGCATTTCTGCAGAGCTTGGAAAAGCACAGGCTGAAAAGCACCAACCAAGAAAAGCCCCAGAGGAACCAGGAAAGAAAGGGGTTTTAAAGTACCATTTGCAGTGCCAAAGCAAGAGTTCAATTTGGTTATAACCGATTTGAGACACAGAGAAACAAAATGAAGACTGCTCTCCTACTGATTGCCCCTGACTGGGAGGAAAAACACTGCACTACCTCACAGCATACCAGGCTGCATAGACACAGAACCAAGAGCACCAATTGGGAAGGGCAGGGAAGCATCTCTGCTCTTTAATCTGCTGTGATTAGCTAAGTGACCACTTTCAATTTCCTTCTTGGCAGTGGGGAAAAACAATGATGCTGTTTGAATCATGAATTCTCGTTTCAATCTTTTAAAGCCAACACATAATTCTAGTGATCACCACTGACTAACTTAGTATATGTCAGGGCCTGTGCTCAGCATTTTACAAATATATCAGTCATTATTTAAAATAATCCAGGGAATTCAGTACTGTTAGTGCCTCTCGTTTAGAAACTTGGAAACAGATTAAACAGCCTAAAGCCACAAAGGAAATAAAACCTGGGCTCAAATTCAGGCAGGATGACTCCAGAGTTCATACCTACAGCCCCATTTTGTATTTTTTAAAATGTATTCCAGAGTTAAATTTTGTATGTGAGGCATAGTGTGAGGTATACCTCACAGTATTACAAAATATGTGACTTTGTAAATAAAATGATGACAATACATAGTAATTATACTAGAACAGATTTTGGATCAATTCCTCCTTTTTATATTTCAAACAACACATTTTCCGGCACATTAGTAAGTGAGGTAATAGAAGGATTTCCAGATCAGAGGGTCTTCATTTTCCCACTTCTGATGGACCACTCTCTTCCTTAAATTTAGGAAATCTGCCCTCTGGCATCCAGGCTAGAGAATCAAGCTGATTGTTTCAGACTGGTGTCCTCTGCAAAACTGCGAGTAGTGGTCTAAGTAGCTCAACTCCTTTCTTCCTACCTTCTTCCTTCCTACTGGGGTTTGATCCACCACAATGGAGAGGCTGGGTCCTGGTTGATCCAGGAAAAAGGAGCTGGGTCTAAGGCACATCTCAAGACTCGGTCAACCTTGGAGATTATTACAGCAGAGCACAGCAGCTCAGTGCTATAGCCAAGCGTTACAGCTCAGTGTTCCAGCCAAGTGCCACAGCTCGGAGACACAGCTGAGCTTTACAGCTCAGTGTGGAGCTCTGGGTCACAGGTCTTGTAATTTGAAGACTCGATAATCTGATAGTCAGTTGAAGAGGTGGAGAAAAAAACCTTTATTACAAGGGTGAGCCCCAGCAGGTTCAGAGGAGTCTGAGCACCCTACCAGAAATGGGAGCCTCCTTATAGAGGGATCTACAAGGTAGGCAAGCATGCTCACTGAAGCAGAGGGGCGGAGTTATAGAGCATTCCTGAAGCAAAGGGGCGGAGTTACAGAACATTCCTGAAACACATGTTGTGTGAGCATGCTCACTGAAGCAGGAGGGTGGAGTTACAGAAATTCCCAAGAGGGGGTGGAGCTTAACAGAACCTTCTTATGAAGGGCCAGAGTTTAACAGAAGATTCCTGAAAGGTCACACAGTTCAAAGAGTCACAAACCATTTTGATACACTGGGCAGGAGCCCAGTAACACAAACTTACATTTCCGAAACAAAACATTCTGCAGGAAAAAAAACGAAGGCAAGGCAAGGCTCTGTCTTACTGCAAACCACTTCTCATCAATATGACCTGTGGGTAGGAAAGAATCGGTGTCATAAGCCATTCCCCAACTTTGGCAATGAATGATGAATCTAAAACACAATCAGCTTGATTCTGCAACCTGGAGACCAGAGGCCAGACTAGAGAGCAGACTGTAAAGCTCTCTAGGAGAATCTGAAGGTCTACCACTGATTCCACACCTCATTCGCCAGAACCCTCATCCCCGCTATCTCTAGACTCCCCAAATGCTCCCAAAAAGAGGGGACCCTTCAAGCGTGTAAAAGCATCAGGGTTCCTTCAAACCACGAATCCTCCCTTCAACTCAAAGAGCTCTTACTTATACTTGTGGGCTATTATAAAAATTGTTTCCATGCATGGAAACCAAGGTGATGCTTCTCCAAACACCCACTGTCTTGCGCTTGTTCCCGTAAAATAAGAAGTGCTAAAATTGAGAGGTGAAAGAAGGTTGAACAACACCCTACACCAAAGGTGCCCACCCCTTGAGCTCCAGAACCTATCTGTTATCTTACATGGCAAAAAGACTTCTACAGGGTCAGGTCAGGGATCTTGAGACGGAAGATCTTGGATTATCCAGGTCGGCTCAACCTAACCACATGAGTTTTTAAAAGTGAGGAGTCTTTCCCAGTTGGGTCAGAGAGGTGACTCAGAAGAGGAGAGAATTCAAGGAGGAGAGGAACCAGCCCCTTGTGGCTGGGCTTGAAGAGGGAGTAAAGGGCCCAGGAGCCAAGGGTCCCCTCCAGAGTGCTGAGATCACAGGTGTGGGCCGAACACTGGGCTCCAGACGTCAAAACACAGGGAGGCCGCTCTATTGTTTAACAATTCTGGTTATTTTGTCTTTCACAAAGGCTATTTTGAATTTCAAGAATCAAGCAAGACAAGAGGATACCTGGCATTTCTTTTGTATTTTTTGAACTATTCCATGCTAAAACACATCCAACACGAAAACTGATAACAGCAAAATTCCTTCTTTGATTATATACAACAAGAACAACTTCAAACCTTTCCATAATATCATGATTGCTATTGTTACTTGGTGGTGATCAAACTTTCAAGCTTGCTTTAGAGTCATAAAACACTTATTGCTGGGCATGGTGGAGCACGCCTGTAATCCCAGCACTCAGGAGGCTGAGGCAAGAGGATCACTGAGAGTTTGAAGCCATCCTGGGCTACATAGTGATTTCCAGGCCAGGCTGAGCTGCATATTGAGACCCTGTCTTGATTAATTAACAAACTAATCAATAAATATATACATATACACTCATTATTTGTATTAGTTACACATGTGGGCAAAGCAGTTCCTCCAGCAGTTCCTTTTCAAATATTTTTTTTAATTCACTTACCAGTTGGGAAAGGTAGCTTGCAGCCAAATTAATAATGAGAACCATTTTCCTCCAACCAACATCATTAATAAGCAATCTGTTACTTAGTAGCAGGAGCAATATTCTAATCTACATTCAACAAGAGTGGAACTTGCTGAGATTCCGATAATCACAGGCACTAAAGCAGCGTCTGTACGGTGTCTCGAGAAAGCAGCGGACAGTACAAGGACAGATTTTGAGAATGGCTGTCACTGAGACAGGAACGGACAACAACGAAGCGCTGAATGCATGCACGTGCTTCATGTCACGTGACTTCGGACCAGCTCTCTGAAGCGACGTCACCTCACCCTCACCCTCCCCACCAGACAGGACCCTGAAGCTCCAAATTCAGCCGCCCAAACCAGCGGCCAGCGGCTGGTGAGCACCTGAACTGGGTTTCGAACTCGGGAAGCCTGATTTCTACTCTTCCATAATGGAAGCCTGAGAAAGATGTCTCTAGATTCCTTAGAAGAAAATTACTTTCCCAAAAAGTACAGAAGCCTTATTTACTCTAGAAGGAGGGGAGGGTGGGAGGGAGGAGCCGAGAATCCCGGCACTGCAGCCAGGACGCTGCCCAGCCTGGCGTGGATTGTGGACCCGGCTGGGCCGGGCGAGGCAGTCACACCCTGTCGGGCGCCACCCACCCACCCAAGATCGGGGCCTCCCTTCGCCAGAGTCGCCCTGTGACTGAGCTCCTTCCTCCTCTCCCGGACCCCCGGTCTCCCTTGCGGAACTCAGGGCAGCAGCTAAGACGGGCAGGGCCTCGGCCCCAGCTCTCTCGGGCAGTGACCTCAGAGGCCGCCCAGGCCGGGCCAGGTCCGGACTTCTCTCTGCTCTTTCATTCTAAATACAGGAAGCTATTTCACGACAGCCGCCCCCCGCCCCCCAGTACTACGGGCTTGCCGCCCTAACGCCTCTCCCAGCTGCACACTCGGGGCTTTCGCGAGGAGGCCCTGAGCCCAGAACAACGCTTAGTCTCAGGACAGCGGCTTGCTGATCCCCGTGAGGCTTCTCCAGGGTTCCTAAGAACGGAGCGCGGGAACAGAGCCTGGAAAGGTCAGGACCGGGTCTAAGCCACTTGTCTTCCCGGGGGACCGGCTCCGTCGCGCACCGTCCTAGCCAAGCGATACGGAAGGTCACAAGTCGCTCTTCACTTCTTTTCCTTCTCTGTTCTAATTCAACAGGTGGACGGGTGTTCCGGCTATATCTAGGTGCCACCAAAGCCTGATGCGGTCAAGCTGGGGCTTTTCACAGGTGCTGGATCTAGAGTGCGTGACGCTGGGATCTGGGATCAATTCACAGTGCACTGCTAGGACCAAGGGTGCTAGGGTTGCAGGTGTGCGCGCTGCCCGCCCTGTGTAGCCTGGACGAGACAAAGAGCTGTAGCGCCCCCTTGTTACTTTTGCTCCCTTCTGCCGGTCGGCCCTGCCACCCTGCCTTGGAGCAGCCAACTGTGGACTGAAACCTCTACAAACCGTGAGCTAAATAAACCTTTGCTCCTTTAACTTTGGGCGCCGGGTATTTTGTCTCAGCAGCGAGAAAAGTAACTAAGACGGCAAGAAAACAACTGAGTTAATAAATGAGGGGGAAAATATCAAGCCTGGGTTTCTTTTTTTTCTCTAGTTGAAGAAAGTAAAATATAAAGCAGTGTAAAAGTAGAATGAAGTCAGAAGTCTCTAATCCCTAGTGCTACACAATATGTCTGTGAGTCACACTGTTCAAAACACACACTGCAGTGTCTGACGGGTCTCGATGGAACAAATTTAAATTTATTTTGTGAGCAATAAATTAGCATCAGATCAAATGTATTTACTGAAAAAAAAAGGAAGCAATCCTTTCTTCAAGTAATCTTTAATGTCTTTCTTAAGAGAAATTTACTTTTATCACACTTATTTCTAAGTTTGTAGTTCTATGAGGAAGCAAATGGAATTAGGGTGTCTTTCCTTGTGGAAATGGAAATTCTCTTTTTATTAATCGCTTGTGGTTGGGTAATTTGTAAGTTTCCTTATTTTGAATCATAACATTTTTCTTCCTCCTTGATGACGTTGCGTTAACCATGTTTACTGCGTTCTGTTATTTCTTTCAACATTGCCCTGAGAGATCTGTGATGAAGCATTTACGTTCCCTTTTGAGTTTTTCTTAAATGCACTGCAAGTTTTATCTTTTTTTATTCCTCTGAACACTTCTTCTGATCCACCTGAGTAATTAAGTGATCATATTATTTTCACTTTACAAAAGTACTACCAAGATTTCATTTCTGTGCAAAATCAATTTGTGCTTTCAGGCTGTTTCCTGACTTCAGTGGAATCAGGTCATTTAAGACTACTACTCTAGGGGCTGGGGATTTAGCTCAGTGGTTCCCCCGCCTGCCTCGCAAGCGCAAGGTCCCCGAGTTCGATCCCCGGTACCAAAAAAGAAAAGAAAAAGACTACTACTCTGTTGTTAAAAGGCTGTCTTAATTTTTTAAAATATTCCAGATCTCATGATGACTTTTTGAATTTCCCTTCACATATCAGAGCAGACAGTCTTTGGCTTAAAATTCAAAAATTATGGATCATTTTATCCACTTTATCTACAAAGGAATTCATTGGAAAACTAAAAGGAAATACAGAAGGACACTGAAAAGAGTACATTTTAGTCCTTCTATTATGTAAATTGAAAGCACTGGAAGTCAGCTGCAAACAAGCTCTCAGGCATACACAGGGAAACTGAGTCACAAACAAAAGAAATGAGCTTGTTCTACTGTATAACCTCTAGAATAAGGTTTTCTGAAATGTCTGAAGAAAACTACAGAGAGAGGGAGCCCACAGGTGTCAGCGTGATAGGAATCTCACTTGTGGAATTTCAACAGTGTACATGAGGAATGGAATTTTGCATCTTGTGCCCTAGAAAACAAGCCAGGACAGGGGTGTCCCAGTGGTTTTCCCTGACCGGAAGTGCCCTGCTCTGACTGGAAGTCCCCTGCCCTGATCCTCCCAGGCATCCTCTCTTATAGAACCAGCTGGACAAGGAAGCCAGCACATGCGCAGCACGTGCATGGACCCAAGTGGGCACGCGTGGCTGTCCATCAGGCAGCTGCACCACTGGTGGCACAACGGATCTACTCACTTTTATCAGTCTTTTTACCAGTGAAATTAATACAAGGTCTAGTTACTTCCTTGAATTTGAATAGTGACTACCCAAATATGAATATTAATATAATTCATGCCAATTAAAAATTATTACAATAATCAATAAATGTATGTTTCATTATATTCAAAGAAATTGATCTATAGTTGTGAATTTCTTTAAAACATTTCATATAAAAAGGTGGCTGATGTCTGGGGTTTTTTTCTTTTGCAGCCACAACAGCCCCTGTTTTTTCAGACCATCAGGCAGGTACCACTGAGGCTCAACCTGGGGATGACGGAACTGAAAGCAGAGCCACCCAGCAGCCCTGAGTTATTCAGGAGTTAAGAGGGATCAGAAATTGAGACCATTAACATTGATGGTTATAACTCATACATATTGACTTATCATTGTCAAGACTATTTCTTTTTTTGGATTCTCCCCCTTTGCATTTAATCTCTTGTCACACCTGACGGGCTCATTCTGCTGGGCTTCCTGGGGTTGTGATCCTCGTTGTCTTTTCCTAGGATATTGTCTAAAATTTTTCGGAGTGCTGGTTTGGTATTCATGAAGTTCCTGAGGTGCTCTTTGTCATGAAAGTATCTTATTTCTCTATCAATTTTGAAAGATAGTTTTGCAGGGTACGTCAATCTGGGTTGGAGGCTGTTTTCCTTTAGGGCTTGAAATACATCACTCCAAGCTCTTCTTGCCTTAAGGGTTTGCATTGAGAAGTCTGCTGTGATTCTGATGGCCTTTCCTTTGTATGCGAATTGTTTCTTTTCTCTAACTGCTTGTAGAATTTTGTTCTTCTGTTGGGTTTCTGGGATCTTAGCTATTACATGCTTGTGTGTAGATTTTTTTTTATCACGGCTAGTTGGAGTCCTATCTGCCTCCCTTATCTGTATGTCAAGTTCTTTTCCCCTGCTTGTGAAGTTTTCTGCCATTACTTCTATGAACAGGTTTTTTTTAATGTCATCTGCACTCTCTTGTTTCTTCACTATGATCAGTCTTACATTATTCTTCTTTGCATTGTCTAGCAGCTGAAGAATTGATTTCTTATGGTTCCTTACTATTTTAAAGAAATTTTTCTTTTCCTGGTCACTAATTGCAGTCTTATCTTCTATATCTGAAATTCTCTCCTCACATTGGCTCATTCTGCTATGTAAACTTTCAGTGGAGTTTTTAATCTCCTGGAAATATATTTTCGTCTCTTTTCTCTTTTTTTGGTACCAGGGATCAAAGTCTGGACCTTGCACTTGTGAGGCAGGTGGCAGAATCCATTGAGCTAAATCCCTGGTCTGTTTGCATCTGTTTTATGGATTCCATTTGTTTCCTATGTTGGGATTCCATCATGTTCTTCGGCTCCTCTATTTTTTTATCTGTGTCTGCTCTAGATTTATTAATCATGTCTTGTACTATAGGCACAATCTCTGCTGTTATCTGAGAAATTATTTCTGATTTCATTTTTTCCAGATCCTCTTTCATTTCCAGTTCAGGGAGTATAGGTGGTTGAGTATCAGATTGTTCCATCTTGTTTCCCTTTGGGGTTGCCTTGGGTGATCTGAAAGTCCAGTTTTGAGACTTGTTTACATGTCTTCTCATTTCAACAGATGCAGCCTGCTGTGCCTTTGTTGAGGCAACTTTTTGCTCACCCAGTGGTTTTCAATTCTCAGCAAGCCACCGAGCAGCCTGTTCTCTGCTGCTCAACAGTATACTAATTCCTGGGTTCAGAAAGGTGGCCTTCTGGATCCCTGAGCTGACCTGTTGTCTGGGTGGGCTTCTGGCTAGGGCCTGTGCACACTTGGGATGGTATCTAGGTGTGCCTCTGGCTGGGGCCCCCATGTAGCTGTTGTCTGGGAGGGCCTTTGGCTGGGGGCTATGGACCCCAGTTTCTGTTGTGTGAGCAAGCTTCTGGCTAGGGTCTCATGCACTTACCAATGGTATCGGGGCAAACCTCTGGCTGTTGCTCGTGTGGCTGTGTAGCTCTTTTCCAGGCAGGCCCTTGGCTTGGGCCAGTGTGCCCCAGCCTCTGGGGTCAGGGGGGAGCCCTGCCTAGGATCTGCTTGCAGCCACACTGCTCTGGTCCACACTGCTGCTCCCCTAAGAGAGGTGGTCTCGTGTGCCTTTATTAAAGAGATTTTCTTCACTTTTCCAGTGGGCTTTAATTTTCATCAAAGAGCCTGAGAGGCCTTCTTTCTGTTGTTCATGTCTGCTCTATCTTCTCAAGCTTAGAACAATGTCCTTTATAACCCCTGCAACTCTTTAGTGTGGATCCAGGTAATGGCTTGGCACAGCTACAGTGGGGTGGGGGGTGGAGGGTGCTGGAGCCCAAGAGGCTCACCTCCTCAGTGCTGAGGGAGCTCTGCTCCTTGGTGCTCTGGGCAGTGCCTAGTTTTTCTTACTTGAGAAACCCAAAGTACAAATAAATTAAAGAGAAAAATAAAAGATAGATAATAGGAAACAGGGACATGGATCTTTTGCATAGAGGAAGGGGGAGGGGAGGGGAAGGTGACGAAGAAAGAACTGAGATGTGCTGTGTGCATGGATGAACTCCCCAAGAGGAATGTGATCATCATGTACTGCAAACATGAACTCATAAAAATTAAAATTGAACAACAAAAATAACTTTGACCTCCACCCCACCTACCCTGCCCAGAAAATCCATGCCATTATTTACAACACAGCCCAGTCGGCCTGCTGTAAAGCAGGTTTGAGGAAGCCAGGCTGCTGTCTCCAGTGACAGCCCATTGAGTGAAGGCTCAATGATAAGTCACAGCCCCCGGTCCCCAGTGGCCAGGGCCCCATCGGTAACTGACAGCTTCTCTAGGGCGACCCTGTTTCTTAGGGAGATGAGCAGAGCACAGGAAGTGCTCCTCCGGCTGGGTGCAGGCTGCCTGCCTGGGGAGTCAGGAGCACACCGGAAGCACCACCATCTCCCACTAGAAAGTCCTCCCACCCCTCAGCTGGCCTGAGTTTCTGCCCAAACACAAGTGGTAGAGGCTGACTTGCAGCTCTAAATAAAAACACCATTACACTTCTCCTTGGGTTGCTCTTTGTTTATTTCCACAGCTCTAAGGTCCTGGGATGACAAGAAATCGGGCCTGCCAGGTTCCCCAGTGGCATTCAACCTGCCTCACAGTGCTGCTGCCTGGAGAGACCAAATTCCCAGACCCTCACACATCAACATTCGGAAGGCAGACAGCACACAATAATGTGCATTCTCATGTATTCTCCTCCTGCCTGGCACTATTATTCTCCAGGTTCCATGGTTATTTTTCTTCTAACCAAAACTAGTAGCAACACCAAGACGTAATATATACTAGGAGATGGAATCCTTTCATACAAGAACAATTTTCTACAAATCAGTCCAAGCCAGGTGTGGTGGCACACACCTGTAATTCCAGCACTCAGGAGGCTGAGGCAGAAGAATCACTGTGAATTCCAAGCCAGCCTGGGCTACATAGTAAGTTCAACCCCAGCCTGAACTACACAGCAAGACCTTGTCTCAAAAAACAGAAAAGTAAAGAAAAATCAGTCCAAAAATCCAATTGTTTGATTTATGGTTTAGTGAGAATAACTTGCTGTTAACTATAAAAGATTCTGTTTTCAAATACATCTTCCTTCAGCTTAATAAATTTACTATTTTAGATAAAAATATAAAAAGTATGAAAGTGGCCTTTAACTTACCATGTATGGAATTTGTAATAGATCTGCAGCACTAGGTTTGAGAATGATAGTTACCCAATCAAATTTATAAAAATTAATATTAGAGGGCTGGGGATGTACCTCAGTAGCACCACACCTGCCTGGCAAGGACAAGGTCCTAAATTCGATTCCTGGTACTGAAAAAAAAACTGATATTAGAGACTTAGACCTCTACAAGCAACTTCTGGGAATTAGAAGGATCTAGAAATTTGAGTTCATGTCACATGATATAGGAATATTATGATAAATTTGATAATTACATTTATTTTTTGAAAAATAATAGGTAGTAACTTTAAATCAGAAATTCACAATAGACTTTTCAAGTATTTGATTTTTGATACACGGTAATCAAATGTAAATCACTGCTTTCAATACTCTGTTCAACAATGTGCAAAAATCAGACCTGATTTAAGAAATATCATTTAAGAATTTGACTTCTTTACAAAGCATCAAAACTGAATCACCATTACATTGTAAGCATGATCGAAGTAAGTCTTAGACTATGAAAAAAAAGAACCTAATCCCCCCAAAGCGGCACAAATCTCACCTCCTCCAGAAACAACTATATAGCAAAATTTGTTTAGTATATGTGCTGCCAAAGCGAGCACTATATAGCAAAATTAACAAAGAAATATTAGCAGAACTGACCTCCCAGAATATACAGGAAACCATTTTAACAGGAAACATCCCTACAAGGTTACAGCTACAAAAGGTAATGAGGTCCCTTAAATTTCCTCTTGAAAATTCCGCAAAGCCTCACTCAGGCTCCTTCTGATTACAAAGATCTGATCTCCTCAGGAAGCAGCTTCTGACAGCAGCTCTGGAGTCCTACTTGGGGCTTCCATTCTCGGGGTGCTGTAGAGAAAAATGTTACTTTGTCTGCAGGCCAAGACCTCACTTCCTCTACAGGTCTATTCTGAACACTATTAGGGTTTAAATCTGCACTTTGACCTGAATTTCCTGCACATTTACCCGTGCTGTCTACGGTAGGAAGAGAAGAACCTTTAGACTTCACAGTGAATACAGTGATCTCCCACCCTCGAGATCTGAGAAAGAGAGGAGAGAAGGAGAGGGAGAGGGAGGGAAAGGGGTGGGGGGAGAGAGAGAGAGAGACTCACTGCTGCCTTCAAAGCTTGATCTAGATCTTCCAGAAGGTCACTTTCATCCTCCAAGCCCACAGAGAGCCGGATGAGCGTGTCACTGATTCCAAGCGTTTCTCTGTCATTCCTAGGCACCGATGAGTGGGTCATGATCGCCCTGGAAGAAGACGTGAGCAGATCTTGATCACTATCTTGTACCAGGGAAGGCAGAGTTCAGTCTCATCTATGTAATTACCCTCAATTTTTTTCTGCCTCAAAAAACAAATTTTTCATATCTGTGTAATTTTTCATGTGCAGAAACAAAATAACTATGAAACTTTTCTAATCACAACTTTAGTGCAAACCAAGATTTTAAAATTGTGTTTATACCACTGGTAAGATATACCCAGTGCCAACGCTGGAGGTGCCTATCAAGCAGCCCCATCCAGGAGGGAAATACCAGCCTCCAGCAGGTATGAGGTTAGATCAAAATATATGGTGAATGCTGACGTTTTTAAAAATATCACAGTAAAAGACACACTGGCATGAATTGCCCTCAGATTTTCCCTCTCACTTTGAGCACACTTGGCCCATCATTTCTGCCACCTTCTGAACAGTCCCAGAAGTCCTTTCCTGAGCGTCTTTAAGGGGCATGATCAGAAATGCGGTGAATGCTGCTGCCAAACACCGTCCAAGGGAATGGCAGACTCATGAAAACATTATGGTGCCCTCGTCCACGTTGTTCACCAGGCCTGGCACCGGGCAGCTTCTGGCTGCTCCTCAAAGTCAAAGTGACCGTGAGCCAGGGATTTAGCTCAGTGGCACTGCGCCTGCCTCCCAAGTGCAAGGTCCTGAGTTCGATCCCCGTTACCAAAACAAAAAACAAAAAACAACCCAAAGTGACTGAGAAAGGGAGAGGTTCTGAAGAGACTTAGGACATCGAAGTGACCACAACAGTACAACTGAAGACACAAAAGAAGACTTCGACTTCCAGAACCGCTTTAGAAAGTGGCAAGAGCCATGGGCTTGGTGTGTTCCAAGAGAGGGGGAATATTTCAAGGGGGATTCACAGCAATGTGTCCTTCACTGTAATAATTTTTAAATATCTACTGTATTTTTTATCACACCTCGCAGATTAGCATATCAGCCTAAACAAAGGAGGCTTTGGCCTGAAGTCATGCACCCATGACCAAGCTGCTGGGCACTTGGGCAACAGCCTGCAGGATTCATTCCATCTGACTCAGTGGATTCATCCAGAATGCCCCTTCTGAGGTGGATCAGGGAAAGACAGGCCAGGACGACAGAATCAACCACTAAGCAGCAAGAATCCCAGCTCGTGTAACCCATGACATACAGGCCTTGAATTTCCAAGCTAGCTAGCAGCTAACTCATCGGTACTGTCCACATGAGGAGACGCAAAGCACCTCAGAACTGGAAACCAAGGACAATGAGGTATTTTCTTCGCTTTAGGTAACAAACCAGGTGCTAAAGACTAGGGCAGTTCACCAAACAGAGCCATCTACAGAGACCTCCAAGTGAGTAAGGGCAAAAGGCCTCCAGGGCCCAGGGGAGGGAGACAGCTCTGCCCCCAGGCACCGAGGTGGAGACCCCGGCGACTGGCTTGGCCTGGACACAAATCGCCACCACAAATTGCCACCGACCCACTTCCTTTCCCCCGGGCACTCAGCAAGTCAGTGCTCAAGCCGCTTCCTCCCTCTCGCTGCAGGCCCAAGGGGGCCTCAGTCGGGGTCTGAGTAATGGGTATCTTCTCCCCTCACTCCGGGAAGTTTTACGCACTAACAGCCTCCTGCAAACGTTCCCCCCAGCAGGCTGTGCGCATGCCTGGAGATGAAACCTGGCTGTCACTCCTGTTCCTTACACTGGCTTGGAACCTGGTTACAGCTTCCTGTCTGCGGTGCCTATTTTCATATCGGGAATAATAATGGAGCCTGCTGTGTGCTTACCGTGAGGCAGGTATTCATGCTAAATCATTATTTTAAAATGTCAAATTAGAAGCCAAGCGTGCTGCACACTTGTAATCCCAGCACTCGGGAGGTTGAGGCAGGGGGATCACCACAAATTCGAGGCCAGCCTGGACGACATAGTGAGTTCAAGACAGCCTGAACTACACAGCAAGACCCTGTCTCAAAATAAATAAATAAATAATAAAATCAATCCGTACATAAAGTGTTCCATGGTTTCCCTTACAAGAAACCCAAATTAAGGGTCGGGGATTTAGCTCAGTGGTGCCACTGCCTGCCTCACAAGCGCAAGGTCCCGAGTTCGATGCCTAGTACCAAAAAACAAAGGAAAAGAAACCCAAATTATAAACAAAGTGCAAAATAAAACATATATAACAGGAATTAGGGAGATAAATCTTAAAAGGAAGGAGATCAAGACATAGAGAGAGGGAGGAGTGAGGGCAGGAAATGGGGTGAAGAAAGGAAAGACGATGTGCTGTGTACACCTCCATACAGGGAAGGTAAACATTATGTGCTGTGAACATGGACTAATAAAAACTTTTAAAAAATAAAGTTAACATGCTAAAAAATGGGTAAAATGTAATATAACACCTATCTTTTCTTTTTAACCTGGAATATTCTTTTAATTTTTCTTCATGTTTTGAAATTTTTCAAAGAAAACAGAGAATATGTATTGTTTTAAAAGTAACATCCAAGCATATTTCCCAGAACTCAAGGAGAGAATCTCTACATTTAGGGGGTCCATTTGATACCTAGCATACAGAATAAAAATTATTCACATTAAAAAATACATATATTTTTTGCCAGGCTTAGTGGTGCATGCCTATAATCTCAGCTCTCTGGGAAGCTGAGACAGGAGGATAATAAGTTCGAGCCCAGCCTGAACAACTTAGTGAGACCCTGTCTCAAGATAAAAAATTAAAAAGGGCTTGAGATGTAGCTCAGTGTGAAGGCCTCGAGTTCAATCCAGAGTACTTGCAGATGCCTTGTAGATGATTATAACACCTATGTTAATAGTCTAGCCATGGGTGTTACCTGAAAGAACATCTATGAAGTCCTTATCAGTACCTGGAATACAGTAGGTACCTAATGAAACGTAATTCACAGCGGTAGCTAACATTTATTAAATTGGCTATGAATATGCACAAACTCATTTGCTTAGGGATTTTCCCCATGTGCTCTTGACAACTCTAAGAACGAGGAGATGGAGATGGAGGAAGCAAGGTCATGATCTGGAAAGGGTAAGAAGCACCCCTGAGGGCAGGGCTAACGCACCTGAGGCGAGAGCCTGACCCAGCGCCCGCTGTCCTCACTCCCGGCCTCCTTGCGTCGATACTGTTCCGGTCCCAGCACAGTTAGTAGACGCAGGATGAAGAGCGGCCACAGACAAGCCCTGACCTAATTCTCTCGTCCCCGGCCTCGGGCTCGTGGCCCAAGCTGCAGGGTCCAAGGCCAAGCAACTTCACACCCAGTTCCTAGCGAATCTGGTGGCATCGATTTTTAAGAAGCCAGCCCTTAACATAATACATACTCCATCACTATAAAAACAAACCAGTTTTGCATGCCGAGTGTGCCCTCTTGTGCACCCAGACTTCCTAGCAGGCATCTTCTTGAAAGACGAGCAAAAGGCACCTATGTTATCTGAATTATTTCTTTGTAAGATTGTTTCACTCCCTGCACAACCTATAAACCAGTGAGGAGAGAGGCAGCCCTCGACTTCAGTAATTCCTGACATTCCTCGACTCACTGCTTCTAGGACACAGTCATTCCATAAATGTGTATGAAAATTAAAATACGAAGACAAATCACATATATTTGCAACAGTTGGAAATTATTAGGTAACGACGTTGCCTTAACGTTGCAGTAACTACAACAAAGGTCATAGCAACATGCAATAAAGGCAGGAGTCAGCTCAGGAATGCCTGCTGGACAGATGACCAATAAATGATCCTCGATAAGTGAATTATCAACCCCACTTTATGAATCAAAAACATTGAAATTCAATGGTGAATTGGTGGAAACCTCTCTCAAATGGAAAAGCAGGCTCCTTTTACTCCACCTCACTATTTTTGTTACTAGTGAGCAAATTTTTTTTTTTTTTTGTACTGGAGATCAAACTCGGGTCCTTGCACCTGCGCAGGAAGCAGCGAAACCACTGAGCTAAATCCCCGGCCCTCGTCTCACTATTTTTGATGTGAAGTCTCAAAACTACAGTTGCCAACGGATTCCTGTGTGACATCCAAGTCGATCACCTAAACATTCGGGATCTTGGTTTCCTCGACTGTAAAATAATGTTACCAAGGACCTCGGTAACAGGCTGTCCAGAACGGTCCCAGCCTCCCCTCCGAGACCACGTGGGCCGCCCTGGGTCTGAAGTCTGAGATCCTAGAAGGTAATTATGGCTGGAATCTCCATGGCAGACGAGGAAGGGAAACGATATTGGACAGAGCACGGCTCGCTGACGAGTAGCCTAGATGTTTAAACTCTCTGTCCTAACGGGGCTATGGACCATTCTGATTAGTTAGCACTACACCAGTCTGACTGTCGAACATTTGGAGTTACCCTGGTTTTTCATACTTCATTTCCAGACAACCATTAAAGCTGACTCTAGATTTAAAATACTGAGAAAAATACAAATACACTTACGGAAGTTCAGCAAGACTTTCATATCCTCCCAAACTCTCGGCCAGAGTAAATAACTGTAACAAAGAAAACATACAATTAGACCTTCCAGTAAAATAAGAACACTAAAATCTACAAGTGAATGTTCTTAATGAAATCGTCCTGGCAAAGGGGGGCATGGAGAATAGCAGTGATTATGAATAAACTAAATACTGGGCAAGAAACTCAGAGAAAAAAATGAGAATAAAATCTGTACCAATGATTTCACCAATTAGACAAATTAAGTGTAAGCTTTTCAAACAGCAAATGATGACCAAAGTGAGCCTCCTACACCATCCTAATTTGGCTCTGTGCTCACTTATGTAGTATTCAACATGAGCTCTAAAACTTCAAAATAAATTTTTTGTTGTTTGTTTTTGAGACAGGGTCTTGCTATATAGTTCAGGCTGGCCTTGAACTCACTATGTAGCCCAGGCTGGCTTCAAACATTCAGCAATCCTCCCGCCTCAGCCTCCCGAGTGCTGGGATTACAGGTGTGTGCCACCACGCCTGCTCCGGGTTGGCTCTCTGCTGCCTGTCTGGTGCTGTCATCTCCCGTAAGGGACAGCATTGGCCAAAAGTCCCTCACCAGAGGCCAAAGCCACAGGGCCACCTGATCTTGGACTTCCAGCCTCCAGAACTGTGAGCCAAATATATACCTCCTCTCTTCTTCATAAATCACTCGGCTTCATGCGTTTCATGTTAGCAATAATATACCTAACCTCAGGTATTTTGCTCTAGCCATACAAAATGGACAAAGATAGGTCACAGTGTCAAATAATTTTACAAAAAAAAAAAAAAAAATGAGGCTGGGTGTTGTAATGCACGCCTATAATCCCAGCACTTGGGAAGCTGAGGCAGGAGGATGGCCAAGAGCTCAAGGCCAGACCGGGCTACATAGTGAGACCCCGTTAAAAAAAATTTTTTTTGAGGTACGGGTCTTGTTATGTTACTAAGGCTGGTCTTGAATTCATGAACTCAAGAGATCCACCCACCTCAGCCTCCCAAGTAGCTGGGGTGATGACAAGGGTGCACCACCCTGTCTGGCCTAATTTTACAAATATTTCTGAGACTGCTCTGTAGTACTCAGCACTCTTTCTAAGTTTAGACGCGGACAGGGTTGAGGTGCTTGGAGGACCCTCGCCTGAACTCTCCAAGCTGCTCCGTGAGACCATGGTGAGGACCGTGAGAGCCTCCTGAGAGCTCCCAAGAGCCTCTCACCTCTGGGAAAAGCAGACAGAGGCACCTCCTCCCTCGGCCCAGAGGTGCGGGCCCGGAGAGCCACAGGGAGGCTGGACTCTGGGACGGCGCCCTGCGTGGGACAATCGCTGCTCGCCAGTTTGAGGTTAAACAAAACTGTAAAATCTCGGGCCGCGAGTACTATTCTGCGAGTGTCCTGCAAGAGGAGCAAACATTTCTAATAAATTTGAACTCAATGAATGAGCAAAGTCCCGCAGTACGAGTGGTGCATGACGCTGAACGTCCGAGGTCAGGGATGAGGCAGTGGTTCCCAGCCCACCCGCCTTCTCTGCGGGATCCTGGGTGATTGTCGCCCGGGAGCAAGAGGAGAGGGAGGAGAAAACGGCAGAGGAAGCCCTGCTTCGCCTGAGATTAGGGAGAGGTGGGACTACAGAGAACACCACCCAAATAAGGCTGCCGCAGGGCGAGCAATGAATCTGTTTAACGATATCACAATGCCACATTTCCATAAAATCCTCAGAAGGAGGCAGACGCGAGTGTCATTGGATGAATTCCTAGTTAAAGCTGCATGGAAAGAAAAGGCTTCCACTGAGCCAGTAGACCGCAGTGATTCGGTTAATGACAGTGAAAGTAGTCCTGCACAGTAACCCTCCTCCCCTGAGTCCCTCACACCCAGCCACCAAGGTTTTTGAAGGTGAGTGCAGGTTAATTTGTTTATTTTTCTTTCTTTCTTTCTTTCTTTTTGGTACCAAGGATTGAACTCAGGACCGTGCGTTTGCCAGACAGGTGTGGTGCCACTGAGCTACATCCCTGGCCCCTATTTTTCTTTACATTTTGTATTTTCTTGATTATATTATATTATATTACAGTGTTATAATCATTTTTATATGAATATTTTGGGGTTGTGGAATGAATCATCTGAATTTCCATTATTTCTTATGAGGTAATTCACTTTGATATACAAATGCTTTGGGTTAAAGCATGCTTCTGGAACAAATTATGCTCGCAAATCAAGGTTTTAAGGTATTTCATTTAAAAGAGGGTTCACTTTTAGATAAATTTGAAAATCAATGCATTAGAAACTTCTATTCTGGCCCGGGCATGATGGTGCACACCTGTAATCCCAGCACTTGAGAAGCTGAGCCAGGAGGACTGCCAGGAGTTCGAGGCCAGCCTAGGCTATATGGCAAGACCCTGTATATATATATTACATACCGTCCCTCCCTGATTGGTTGGAAGGCATGCAAAGTCAGGCAAAAGAACATATTCAGATGTCTGCTACTAAGCCACTGTCATTTACCTCATTTTCAACCCAGTGCATTTCATGGTGAAGACGTTTACTGGTAGGACCTTCAGGTGCAGAAAGCTAGTGAGAGGTGGAGCTAGGTCGGGAGGTTTACCTTCAGGTGCTGCAGGAAGGTCTCGGCATGCTGAAGGGAGCCCTTGATGTAGAAGGTGACCATCCCTGGGCAGCCCGTGCACTGCCGTTTGGCCAGCTCATGTTGTGGGTGGGAGGGCAGCCCTGCAATCGCAAGGTGGACAGTCTTTTAGAGCCTGGTACACTGTTTCGGGGCCACAGTCTCACTGCCCACTGAGGACACCAGAAGTGACCCTCATGATGAGGCCCAAGCCATGTCCACCCTGACCACCGTGCTGGTCCCCAGCCACCTCTCCAGCTTCATGCACATGGGTTTCTACCCGCTGCATGGCTCACCATCGCTGCATGGGGTTCTTCTCCCCAGCAGCACCTTGCAGGACCTTTGCACATGCTGTCACCTCCCCAGGCTCCCCTGTTACTTGCATCCTTCTATAATTCCTGCTTAATACCAGGTGTGAATGAAAACTACAGGGGAGTCTTTAAATTTTTAAAATTTACTGTAATAAAAGACTCATGGCCATGAATCTCCCTCAAAATCCTCCCCCTCACTGTGGGCACGCTCATCCCACCATCATGGCCACTTCCTGCAGCAGCTCTGGAGTCTCTCCTGAGGGTCTTTAGTTTCGCTGTCCTGGCTGCCTTGATGTTGAACTGATTCAAAACGCTTCCCAGTCATGGTCGTTTTGACTTTGAGGAAGAGCTAGAAGTCATATGGTCCCAGATCCGGTGAAGAAGGTGGATGAGGATACAGCATCACGTTTTTACAACCCTGTCTTTCTGTTGCATGGTGCTCGGCAGCAGCAGTCACTGTATTTTTATCACACCTCGTAAAGACACTCAGGAAAGAGGACTCCAGAGCTGCTGCAGAAAGTGGCAAGGACAATGGGACGAGACAAAGCAGGAGGGAGGATTCTGAGAGGGTTTAATGGAGATGTGTCTTTAATCATAATACATTTTTTTAAATTTAAACATTCACTCTGCATATTTCAATCACAGTTTGTCTTAACCAGTACATCTACACCTTAAGGGTAAACCGCTTTCTTCTTTTAGTAACTGAATCCCATTCCTAGCATAAACCTTGACTTATAGTTGGTAATTAATAAACATTTGTTAGCCAGCATGGCGGCTCACACCTGAAAGCTAAAGACCCACACAGAACTATGGAGTATGGAAGACGAGTCTCTAACTCCCGTTCACCCGGCCAAAGACCACATCTGTCTACTCCCACTAGACCTCCCTCAGAGCCACTCAGCAGCTTCGATAATAAACAGACAAGTGGGCCTGGGAGCACGTATCTGTAATTCCAGCACACTGGGAGGCTGAAGCAGGAGGATCACCACAAATTCCAGGGCAGCCTGGGCTACATGGCAAGACCCTGTGTCATAAAAAAGAAGGAAAAGAAGAAAAAAGAAAAGAGAAAAGAAAAGGAAAGGGAAAAGTAAATCAGATCAACGTACCAGGATAAAGAACCTTTTCTACCCGGGGGTTGGATTCCAGGAAGCGGGCCACGGCCATTCCGTTTTGGAAATGCTTCTCCATGCGGATTTGCAGGGTCTTGAGGCCTCGAAGGCACAGGTAACAGTCGAGAGGGGAGGGCACCGTTCCCAGAGCTGCCAAGGGAGCACATGTTGGCTTAGCCAGGCCTTCCGGGCTGGAATATCTGCTGGGCCTTCTGGGCTGGAATATCTGCGGGCCCCTCCTTCACCGAGTGACTTGTGAGGCCAGCTCCAGCGCTCCAAGGGGAGGGGGAGGTTTACCGGGAAACTGCTGCATCACATGGGGAGCATGAAAAGGAAGCAGGAAATGTGCTTGAAAATAAGAGAGGCCGGGCATGGTGGAGCACACCTGTAACCCCAGCACTCAGGAGGCTGAGGCGGGAGGATCCTCATGAGTTCAAGGACAGCCTGGGCTACACAGTGAGTTCAAGGCCAGCCTGAACTGCAAAGCAAGACCTTGGCTCAAAAAAACAAAAAAAGAAAAGAACAAGGTGGGGGATGAATCTCCTGTAAACTAAGTAAAAACACAGAAGTATGAACTTTTCAACTATGAAGATAAATAGTCCTCATTGGATTTTTTAGGGCTGTTTGTTTATTTGTTTTCAGAGACAGGGTCTCTCTATGAGGTTCAGGCTGGCCTTTAACTCGCTGCCTATCCCAGACTGGCCTTGAATTCAGGCAATCCTCCTGCCTCAGCCTCCCAAGTGCTGGGATTATAGACATGTACATTTTTTAACACTTACTATTTTGCAGGAAACGAAGTCTGTCATTGAGGTCTTCAGAATTCACGGACACTAAGCCCATCAGCACATCACTGTGCCCTAGCAAAACGAAACCATGTAGGGGAAAAACAATTTATGCTGGGTCTTCACTTTATCATTTCCAAAATGTTAACTTTCCTTTGGAAAAAAAAAAAAAATCTCAGGAAAAAAAGTCCTCTAAAAGAAGTTGAAGTACACTTGATTCAATTGTCGGAACAAAACCTATTCCTAAACCAATAAAATAACAGTATGCAAGAACTAAATATTCCTTTCCAAGCTGCCAGCAGGGTGAAAGCATAATCTTCAACAGTAAATTATAATCCTTTCCTCCTGAATCACGAACATAGCTTTGCCTTCTATAAAATAAATCCTATTATTAATCAAAACATTTCTTTTTATTTTGTACATGAGTCACAGATAAAACCTACACAATAGTAGAAAAGAAGCATCAAAATATCCTTTCCCTGTCCCTGAAGCCCTCAGCTGTGTGGATCTTACCGTTCATGTACTTCGTGGCAGAACACATGCAGATATCAGCTCCCAGAGCCAGAGGCCGCTATAAGACAAAGCAGGCTTTTATTTTAACTGAGAAACCATTTGAAACCAGTGTGTTTCCCCATCTATCTGCAGCTCTTAATTCCACTCCCAATCTAGTCAATACGAATTTTGCAAATATTTGCTTATCTCACAATTTTCCGCAATCTCTGACACTATCCATCTTCGTCTTTGATGCTCACCACATAAATATAAAATAGGAAATGCTGGGCCCCACACAGAGCCGGAAAGCACAGGTTGGATGCAGACAGCAGATGGGGCCACCCGGTCCAGGCCTCCTGAGCCTGTGAAGTAGGAGTGGCTACCTTTTTTTTTTTTGGTACCGGGGATTGAACTCGGGTCCTTGCGCTTGCGCTGCAGGCGGCAAAACCACTGAGCTAAATCCCCAGCCCCAGGAGTGGCTACCTTTGAAGTCCCGGCCAGACACCAGACCTTTAAGACTCATGAAGCACAGAACTCTGTTCACAGAGTGGTTCAGAGTATAAACTGTTCTGCTTACATTTTTAATCTTTAAAACTTTATGAGGTGCTTTGTGATTATTCACCTTAGGTGTGTCACGACCTTAACCACTACTGACTCTTTTACTACACCAGTTTTGTGAACTACAAAGTCACCCATAAAGACACTTGTTTGGGTTTTTTCTTCCTGCCTAATTTTGATGCATATTAATCCTTCAGTCTTAAAATATCTGTTTACAGTGGGAGTTAAAGTTACCACTGAACAATATGTTACCAACATGTTTCCACGTACATTTTCTTCCTTCTTTTCTTTCTCCCTTCCTTCCTTCCTTCTTTCCTTGCATTTCCCTTTCTTTCTTTCTCATTTTCTTTCTGTCCTAAGGATTGAACCCAGATGCTTTGCACTGAGCTACATTCTCAGCCCTTTCCATTTTTTTTTGTTTGTTTTCCATTTTGAAATGGAGTCTTGCTAAATCAGGAAGTTGTCCAGCTGGTTTAAAACTTGTGATGCTCCTGTCTCAGCCTGCCAGAGTGCCAGGATTATAGGCGTGCACCACCATACTCGGCCTCATTTTCTTTTGAAGTGTCAGCCTGGTTTTTGATCTAACTAGATCAAAAGCCTAAGGTCTCTCCCAGCACTAACTTGCTGTGAACTTCACAGTCAAAAGAGAAAAAAAACAATACCTGACATCTGTTGATCTTACCATGTGCCAAGAACCAGGCTTATACTTTACCTGACCCAGGGAAGTACCTAGAAAACACTTTGCCTAACTCTGTACAATCAGTGCCTTCATGGTTCTCATTGAACAAATAAGAAAAATGAGGCAGATTAAAAGCTTTCGGAGCCAGGACTCGCAGCCAGGCCATTTGGGATAGCAATCCTGAGCCACCAGACTGCAGCTGCATGCTGCAATTGGTGTGCTCGTTTTGCTTTTTGAAAGACTAATAGAAAACACAGAAGATAGGCAGAGCAGGAAGAGAATATATGCAGTCTTCACACGGATCAGAGTGTGAGGGCCTCTCCAGAGCTGCCCGGCAGCTGCCCTGGGAACATGAATCTGATTAATTCAAGTAGGATGAATCCAGATGGAAGTGAAGTGAATTCCAGTCCTTGGCATGGAAAAGTGTTGTGAGTTTCAGAAAGGCAGAAAAACTGGACAGGACCTGTTTTACTGGCAGAGATAGAAGAAAGAGGGCTAGGTTTGGTGGGTAACCTAGGCAGGGCCTGGCTAAAATAATCCATTTGATCTTTTGCAAATGCACAGATGAAAGGTGACTCGGCCAAAGCGATGGCAGATGGTGCTCACCATCCTAACGGGGCTGGCGTATGGTTTGGGATCAGTGAATCCAAGTCTGAAATCACCTGGGACGAAGCGATGAGGCCAGGAGATTTTCACTTGGAAACGGATTTTTACCTGTCAGAGGCAGCCGCAACATCACGGGCCAAAGGCAGGTGGCCTGTGAAGCACTCTGAATGCGATGTAGTCAGGAAGAGTTTCAGGAAAACAAAATAAAACACAGCAGCGACTCCAAACAGAATGGGGGAGAGCCACGAAACAGTAAGCTGTGTTCTGTGCATGGACCCAGTCTGCATGATGAACACAATCAGCAAGCACTGCAGCATGCACTGATAAAAGTAAAACAGAAGACCACAAGGCCGGAGGGAGGGAAGGCTTATGCGGTGCGCTAAGGAAGTGGCCAAGGCATCGGCAGGGACCCAGGAGAGAAGGGGAAAGGTGAAGAACTGAACTACAAACATCTGGAGCAACAAGCAGGGATGACAGGAATTCTGCAGGATAAAGAAGAAATAGAAGAAGCGTGCTAAGTACAAGTACAGCAGGAAGTAAAGAGCAAAGACAAGGTAACACCTCACCAGGAAAGGAAGCGGAGTTAGGCTATGGTGAGGAAAGGGAGGGGAAACACAAGGGGAAGAGGCACAGTTCCTAACAGCTGAATCTTAGTTGCAGCCTCCATGGCCGTCAATAGATGAATGGATAAAGGAAATGTGGTGTTTACACACCATGGAGTACTACTCTGCCATAAAGAAGGATAAACTTGTGTCATTTGTAGAAAAATGGATGCACCTTGAGACCATAATGTTAAATGAAATGAATCAGATGCATGCGCTTCAATATCACATGGTTTCTCTTATATGAGGGACCCAAAATATAAATAAAGAGTAAAATAAAAAACAGATAATAGGAAGTAAAGATATAGATCTTTTGCAAATGGGAAGGGAATCAAGAGATGAAGGGAGGGGAGGGGAAGGGAATGAAAAAAGAATTGAGATGTGTTAGACACATGCACCAACTCCACACAAGAAGCGTAAACATTATGTACTGCAAACAGGAACTAATAAAAACAATTAAATAAAAATATCAGAAAGTAAAGGGAAAAGGCAGATGAGTAGACCAAAGAGACTCTCCAAAATGATCTAACAAAAAGATCAAAAGAAAAAACTTTTTAAAAAAAAAAAATCAAGAGGAAGAAACTCGGGTGTGGGAAGTGCAGAAGAAAAAGGAAGAGAACAGAGTGCTGGGGAGAGTTGTGCTGAAGGAGGTAAATGTGGGGTAGTGAGCAGGAAAGATCATCCAAGGGAGGTGCTTGCATCTCCTCCAGAATTTCTGTGCTGAAACCTAATCCCCAAAGACTTGGGATCAGGAGTGAAGTCTTCGTTCACGAGGGCAGAACAGAATAAGCACCTTTGTAAGAGAACCCTGGGAGCCAGGTGTGGTGGTGCACACCTGTAAAGCCAGCACTGGAGAGGCTGAGGCAGGAGGATCATGAGTTCAAGGCCAGCCTGGACTGTATAGTGAGGGAGAGACAGAGAGGAGCCCCAGGGCCCCGGCTGGGTTCCTCTACCCTGTAAGGACACAGGGAAATGCCATCTGGAACCTAAAGTGCGCTGGGTCCAAATCTGTTGCCCCTTGGTCGTGGACTTGCTGGCCTCCAGAACTGTTAGCTAACATGTTTCTGTTTCCAAGCCAGCCCCGTTATTTTGCCTTACCAGCCCAAACAGACAAGGCAGGAGCACTATAAATACTTAGTTATAATGGAAAACAAATGAAATAGAAACTCCTAATTCAAATAAGTTTACAGACACAGAGAGTTAAAGATACAGAGTTTAGTCACAGTCTCAGGGTGCTGAGGGAAGAAGAACTACAAGAAGGAGAAGTGGAAAAATAACATGTGTGACATCTACTGTGATAGCCCTGAGGAGAGCTTTTCCTTTTACAAGTGTTTAGCAGGTTAGCTAGATAAGAACTTAATTTTTAAAAAGAGAAAAGGAGCCAGATGTAATAGTATGCCTGTAATCCCAGCACTCAGGAGGCTGAGGCAGGAGGATCACTGTGAGTTCAAGGCCAGCCTGGGCTACATAGCAAGACCTTGTCTCAAAAAAAAAAAAAAAAAAAGGTTTTAATGTGGCTCACACACACACACACACACACACACACACACACACACACGAGGTGTGAGTGATGAAAAAATTTAATAACCAAATAGATATTCAAGTCCCTACCATTTCGAAGGGTTTGGAAATAAGGCCATATGTTCAAAAGGTTTACACATCTTAAGAGATCTGGAAGTTTTTCATCTAAATAATATTTTTAAACTATAAGCATCAGCCAGGCATAGTGGTACAGGCTTGTAGAGCCAGCCCTCAGGAGGCTGAGGCAGAAGGATCAAGCTCAGCTTGGCCAATATAGTGAATTCAAAGCCAGCCTGAACTACATAAGACTGTCTCAAAAAAAGTCAAACAAACAAGCAGGGATGTAGCTCAGTGCAAAAATGACCCTAAATTCAACCCTCACTACCACACACATACACACACACATACACACACAAAATAAGGTATCATACAAGATATCAAACAAGAAGACATTTACTAAGGGTAGAAAAGGTCCAAATTTAATTATGTGCCTAATTAGTAGTTGTGATTAGATGATCAGATTTCTCAAGTCCAATAATGAGTCTAACACTCACTAGTTCTCCCTTTCTAACTAGGGATATCTTCTGTGTGGTCCGCTGGGCTTGCCCAAAAAGAATCTATTCTCACCCACCTGGAAGTAGGCCGACATGAAGGTGTTATCCACGACCAGCAAGATGTCTCCATGTGAGCGGACGATCTTCGCACAGGCTGCGATGTCGACCAGCTTCAAGGTGGGGTTGGTGGGGGTTTCCAGCCAGACGAGCTGGGCAATAGTTCATGGTCAATGGCTGATAGAAGTAATAGTTTGTGGACGCACACTGCGCAGACAAGAGCCTCATGCCTGGTGACAGGCCCGGTGCTTTTGCATCACAGCAGAAACACGAGGGCTCACATCTCAGCCACACACCCCCTACAACCTCTGAGAGGCCGCAGCTCCGGACCGGACCCTCCGCCCCCGCCCACTTCCACATCTCTATAGGAGTCAGGAATGTCTGCCTTATAGCATGGTCAGGAGAAGTAAGATCCTTGTCATGCTTAGGCTCTAGATGTCCCCCCAAATCTATGCAGTCATAGATATGTGATGCTGGAGTCCAGGGCTTTGATTACAAACCACTACACCAGGCTGATTGGTTTGGTACCATCCCAATCCCTGTAGTCTGGATAAAAGGGGCAGAAAGACACTGCTAAGGTCTCTTGTTGCTTTTGCTGCTTCCTCTGGCATGAACTGTTACCCCTCTGCCACCTGCTTCGGAACCAGCCAATTATGGACTGAACCCTCTATGAACTGTAAGCCCAATAAACCTCTTCCCCTCTAACTTTCAGTGTCCAGTATTTTGTCCCAGCAATGAGAGGAAAGTACGCTGGCTCACTTAACTTTCAGAGCTGCCTTCTGAATGAAGCCAGCAGTTATCTTCATCTTACAAATGAAGACACTGAGACATTGGCCTAGCAATTTGCCCAAACTAATACACCAACTATGATACAGGATCGGAGTTTGAATTTCACTCCAGAATTCATGTATGAATTCCTAAGCATTTGGCTATAACCCCTGGGAGGCCAGGCCTTTGTCAATCTTGTGGATGTTTCCAACAGCTTGTAATAAAATTCAGTATTCAGATTTAAATTCTATCCTTTAGTAAACAAAAATGATGAAAACGAGACATCACAGAGAAGACAGACAAAACTGAAAACTAGCTAAATTACTTTGGTTCGCGGTGTAATTGCTTCCTCTAGCAATTTGGTTTTGGAGCAGTCGACGTAAGAAATCTTTAATCCAAATTCAACTGCCACCCGCCTGAAGTACCGGTTTACACCTGAGGAAGAAAAGAATCAGATAAGACAGAAAGGACACTGTATCCAGAAATGTTCATTCCTTATAGGTATAAACATGTGAAGTTGGAAAAAACTCGAAATCGCTATTAAAAATGCAACTAAAAGCAAGTTCAGTGACGTGGCTTGGCTATCTGGTATAGTACAGAATAACAAGACTCCAGTCAAATAAAACACACGTGATACCCACAATGAGAGACAAGAAGCAGAAAATGTTTGGAGGCTGAAGCAGGAGGATAGGATCCCTGCAAGTTCAAGACCAGCCTGACCTACATAGCAAGACCCTATCTCAAAACACCAAAACAAACATATGATCCAGTCTCTATTTTCAAACACCAAGTGGCATGCTGCCTGAAACGTTAGTAGTTTTTTGTAACAATTTCTTCTAAGTAGACAGATCTAAAGTAAATTAACTAATGTCGATTAAATGTTCACAATAAACATTTAGTCTGATTATACTTTGGTAACAGAAAACAATTGATTACCATTCTTTGTACTTTCTCAATATTTTTGTTATGTGGCTCTAAAAGCATTTTTAATGGATAAAATGAGATAATGTAAATCTAACTGATTTTTATTTTGAAATAAGACAAATCATTTAACATTGAATAATTTATTTTATTTATTTATTTATTTTTTGATACCAGGGATCGAACTCCAGTCCTTGCGCTTGCAAGGCAGGCAGTGGAACCACTGAGCTAAATCCTCGGTGAATAATTTATTGTATAAAAAATGTTCTGAATTCTATTTTTTATATTAACAAAATTTAAAGGAAAAATTGCTACCACTGATAGTCAACAAAAAAGAGATAAATAGCCAAAAAGATAAAATGGACTTTTGAGATTATATAGACTGACCCTAGGAAATATGATTGGGAAAATAATGTAAAGGATTGTTAAAAATCAACAATTCTCAGGATTTTATTGGTCATGAAGTTTTTTTTTCCTTTGTTTTGTTTTTGGAGACAGGGTCTCACTATGTAGCCCAGGCTGGCCTTGAACTCACAGGGATACTCCTGCCTCAGCCTCCTGAGTGCTGGGATGACAGGTGTGCACCACCATGCCCGGCTGCCGTGAGGTTTTCCTAACACAATATAAAATATCTAAAGGTTAGAGATCTCTGTAATTTCAACTCAAAAACTACTGCAAGGACCCAAGGTAAAATATAAAACAACATGCAAGCTTCCAAGGGATGAAATCACTAGGAACAAGTCCTTTCCTTCAAAGAACTTAGATTTAACTTTTTGTTCAGATAAACAATAGATAAAATGATAATATTCTAGAAGTCACACTTTTTTTATTTGGAAACACTTGGAGTTTATATGTCCATTTACCAACCTTTTTGCTCTTGTTTTGAACACAAAAACCATTCTTGCATTGGTCATGGTGGCACACACCAGCATTCAGGAGGCTGAGGCAGGAGGAACACCATGACTTTGAAGCCAGCCTGGGCTACATAGTGAGCTGAAGGCCAGCCTGAAATACTTAGTGAGACCTTGTCTCAAAAAACCAAACCAAACAAAAAATCAGTCTTCCCCACCTCCAGGAACAGCCTACATAGTTACTCTTAGTAAAGGGAGTTCTTTAATTTGGGTCCATGGCGGGCTCTGAGGGTCGGGCTGTGAGACCAGCGAAGTGAAAATACTAAACACTGGTTGTAATCTTAAAAAAGGGTTTTGGGAGAAGTTCTCTATAGCTTTCAACAGATTTTCAAAAGGTTCTCTGAAACCAAAATAAAAAAGCAAAACCAGGGAGTGACCAGAAGGGTTCGTTCTTTTGTTTGTTTGTTTGTTGTTTTGTTTTCTTTTTTGGTACCGGGGAATGAACTTGGGTCCTTGCACTTGCAACGCAGGCGGCGGAAACACTGAGCTACATCCCCAGCCCGGGTTCAGTTCTTTGAGAGTGACTTGGTACAGTTCACCTTCGCTGCAGTTAGGAATTTTAAACACCAGAACAATCTCCCTTCCACACTGTCTTCTCTAGAGCAGAATACACCTGAGAGTTGATCGAGTCCTACATCCTTATTCTACAATTCTTTGATGCGTACAGTATATGCTTGCAGTACAAAATGATTTTTTTTTGGTACCGGGGCTCAAACTCAGGATCTTATGCTCAAAATTTTGAGGCAGACAGGCGGCAAAACCACTGAGCTAAATCCCCGGCCCCCATGATTATATTAGTCGTAGGGAGTTGGCACATGTACATAACCCATCTTAATTCTTTTTACTTCCCCTTCCAGCTGGACTTGAACTCACTATGTAGTCCAGGCTGGCCTCAAACTCATGGTGATCATCCTGCCTCAGCCCCTCAAGTCTTGAGGTTACAGGCATGCACCACTACGCTTGGCTTCCTTAATCTCTCTTATAAGCAGTTCCAGGCCGTGGACCCTCTGGGTTTATGTTTCTCGTTTGCCAAGTCTAAGCCAGCCCCACTTTTTTTTTTTTTCTTGGTACCAGGGATGGAACTCGGGACCTTGTGCTTGCAAGGCAGGCGGCAAAACCACTGAGCTGAACCCCCAGCCCACCAGCCCCACTTTTGAAAGACAATAAGTAATTGACAATACTGGCATTCTTGCTAACGGAATTCAGAGCTCGCTCTACTATCTTTAAGTGTCCGCCCCCACAGCGTGGACGCAGAGGGTCTCTACCTGCGTACACGTCGTCCATGCAGATCACCTCGTCCCCTGCTTTTAAAAGGTGAGTGACGGTCACAGTGGCTGCCAAACCCGAAGCAAAGGCCAAACCTGGAATAAAAATCCAGTTAGCTTCCACCAAAAAGTCAGACCAAGGATAAAAACCACCCGCAGTATTTGCTTGCATTGTGTAACGTCCTTCCCTCTGCTGATAGGTCAAGAATAAGTTATCTTTAAAAGAGACACACAGGGGCCGGGGATTTAGCTCAGTGGTTTTGCCGCCTGCTGTGTAAGCACAAGGACCTGAGTTTGATCCCCAGTACCAAAAAAAAGAAACACACACACATACACACACACGCACGCACGCACGCACATTGTGGACAGGTACTTGGTCTTACAGCAGTTCTGCCTTAGTTATAACATTTCAATACAACATTTCAAAGGAATAATTCTTTACAAAACTTGAGATAAAGGCTTATTGCCCATTAAATTACAGGTTTTTTTAAAAAAATTGTTTTGAGAAAGGGTCTCACTGTGTAGTCCAGGTTGGCCTTGAACTCACTATGTAGCCTAGGCTGGCCTTGAACTCTCAGCAAACCTCCTGCCTTAGCCTGGGACTATAGGCATGCAAGACCATTCAGCTACAGTTTTACAATATTAATCTAAAGAAATGTCAAACTTGAGGGATACAGCAAAGATATGATCCATTTCTTCCTCACATGGATATGCAATATAATATCCATATCACATTTTGTTATATGGATTTTTTAAAGAAAAAATATTTTAAATTAATTTTTGTTTGTTTTTTGAGACAGCATCTGGGTATGTGGTGCAGGCCGGCCTTGAACTGTAGGGGATCCTCCTGCTTCAGCCTCCCAAGTGCTAGGACTATAGGTGTGTCCACCACGGCCGGCCTTGAATGAGTGATTCTTCTTTTCCCGTCTGCATTCCGTGCCTCTGGCATGTTCCCGGTATATTTTAAAGGGCTCTACCGTGAGATCCTCATCACTTACTGTACTTGGCCTCATCCAGCGCTGCCACTGCTTTTTCCAAGCAGCTTCTAGTGGGATTTCCAGAGCGGCTGTATACAAAACCCTGAAGAGGAAGAAAAGAGTTCCTCTGAAGAGCGTCACACTTAGCCCCAGCCCTCACACAGACATCTCAGCAGCTATGGTGCACCCCACCGTCATGACTCTCTGTTGTTTAGTGTCTATTCATCTTGTGCCGACTTAGAGTGCAACAGCATCCTGGCTGGACGTGGCCAGACAGATCAGGTTCGTGTATCTGCCACCTCTGAGCTGGTGCCACTTGGTCAATAACGCAGCATTTGCAAGAGCCCAGTTCAGTCTCTGTGCAGTGGGAAAAGTGCAGGTGTCGAGTTCGTGAACTGCCGTGCGGGTAACGTGAGATTTGTGGCACCTGTAGCCACTAGGTGAGTGGCAATTTTTTTTTTTTTGGTACCTGGGATGGAACTCGGGTCCTTCTGCTTGCAAGGCAGGCGGTGGAACCACTGAGCTAAATCCTCAGCCAGTGAGTGGCAATTTTTAACATTAGTGTTGTTATATAAGACTCACCTTTTCTTATTAATCTGTGGGAAAGGGGGTCACCTGAGCCAACAGAGTAACCTAATTTTTTTTCTATTTCCTTTCCTAAGGACCAAGTGACACCAGTTCTATAAGCATACGAGAAGACACTATCAACAGACCCTACAAGTGCTGGGACTTCCAATCGTGGCTCTTCGGATTGGCTCAAAAAATAGGGAGTAATTCTCAGCAAAGTACCTCCTCATGCTTTCTACAAATGTGTATTAAAAAAAAAAAATTCTCAGGGCCTGGGATTTAGCTCAGTGGTTCCACCGCCTGCCTTACAAGCACAAGGTCCCAAGTTCGATCCCCAGTACCCCCCAAAAAATAAATAAAAATAAATAAATAAAAATGTGTATTAAGCTCCTTTAACACATGTGGCACCACAATGTCCATATTCATCTAGTCATATATTTAATCCTCAAAACCCACTTTGTAGATAGTAAAGCCCAATGTCATAGGAACTACAGAGCCAGAGTTAAAGCCCTGGACCCTAACACTGATGAAAAAACCTGTAATTTTCTCCCCTGGCTCATAAAGCACACAACAAAACACAACCACTCTTTAAACTGTGTTGCTGATTCAGGAGCTCCTGCTATTAGCAATCATTTCTAAAGCCTTATTGTGTTGCCTCCTTGTTCCTGACAAGCTGAGCGGGTGTATTTATTTTGTGCGGTACTGGATATCCTCACTGCTCCCCATCAAGACCTCCTCACCATCTCCTGCAGCTGTACCCACCACAGAGAACAGAAATCGTTGGGTTCATGCGGCAGCACCAAGTAAGGGGACCCTGCCCTCTGGTAGCAAAGGCCTCGTCTATCCAATGGCTTTTAAAGTAGAAGGAGAGAATTAGACACTTCTCATGCAGCTTTTCAAATTCCCTGTAGTGCCCTTACCTGATTTTCCTAAAGACAATAAACAGACTCCTGCAGAGTTAATCATCCCTCCTTACTTTCTGACAATATCACTATTGTACCAGAATGACTAACTTCTGTACTAAATTCCACACCTTGGACAGCCACACATTCAGTAAACCCACACGCGAAACAGACCGTATGCTTGGAAGAGTCACTGTATACACATTTGGATTCCAAAATACAGGAGCAGAGGTACCTGAAGCAGCTATCGAAATGCCCTAAGAACTCCACCTCGCAAAAAAAGGTGTCTCTGAGAATCTTACTTAACACATTAACGTGGTTTTCAAAAATTAATCAAGGTTCAGGACTTGTAAAGTTTAATAAACTAATTCTTCCAAATCTCAGCAACTTTTAAATACTCTAAGACCCACCTGGTTTGCCCTCAAAATGAACAAGAGCTGTATGATTAACAAAGAATGCTCTCTCATAGGCTTTACAAGTCCTTTACGAGTCTGGGTCAATTCCTTGTGTATAAAAAGTTCCTAATACCTGTCCCGTCCTCTGAACTGGCTGTTGCAGAGATCAAATGGAAGTGGTATAAATGTGCAATGCCAAGGCACCACTGAGCAATTATTATGTACACTGCAGCTTTACAAACACCAATGACTTATGAGGTAGGTATTATTATTATCCTCATTTACAAAGGAGTGGCCTTAGGCTTGGAAAGCTTAAATAACTTCCTCCAGTAGCCAGCTCAGAAGAGGCGAGGTCAGAATTCAGACCTATGTCCTTTACCACAGGGCGAGAGAAGCCACCTGCTTACTGAGGCAACAGGTTAGCCGGCCATGGTGGCCCTGAGTCGACAGTGGAGCCCCGCTGCCCAGCTGTAGGACTGCAGCGTCCGGCCGGGTTGGAATCCCAGCTCTCACGCTGTTCACCATCCCTCAAATCTCAGCTTCCATCAGAAAAATGAGAATTTAGTTCAGTCTAGGGTGGTTAGGTTTAAATGAGTCACTACATGTAATGCATTTCATAACATGTATAATTTATAGACATAAAACTTGTTTTATATAAATATATAAATGTGTATATACCACACAGAAGGTACTCACCTATTAACCCAATACAGCTATTTGGGAATTAGCTTAATTCTAGGTGAGTTATCAGACCCTAAATTCTTTTTCAAGCTGACTCCTTACTGCGTCTCCAAATCCTTGGCTAGCAAAGGTAACACACGCAGCTGTTTCTGAGCCGACAGTCCGATCGCCCCGCCCGCCGGCCGGCTCACCGAGTGCTGGCCGGGCGCGCCCTGCTTGAACGTGGTGGAGAGCGAGATGAGCGGCACCACGGCCCGGGAGTGCCACTGCTCGGGGTCCTGGCCCGCGTGGATGGCCCGCGTGGCGAAATGCGGGAAGCCAGGCAGGAAACCCGGGCCGGCGGCGTCTTTCTTCTGCATGCTGAGCTGCAAAGGAAGGAGAAAGCGGGAAAGCCAGAAAGATCGAATCTGGGGACCCGCGGGAGGGCGCCGGAGCAGCACCTTCGCGAGTACTCTGAGTTTATCCGCCGCTCGGAGGGCCGGGGCTGGCACTGACCAATGAGAGCCGGCCCCGGTGCAGTCCCCGCTCCTCATTGGTCGGCGGGGGGGCGTTGGCTGGGCTCTCGCCCAAGCTCTCCCACGTGGTCTGGGCCGGCCCGGCTCGGTATGATTGACCGGTCGGAGTTCGCCGCGGCGGCAGAGACGACGGCCCGGTGTTGAAACCCTGACCCGGCCTTTGTCCCGGGGCGGGGTGGAAAGACGCCACCTCGACGGGAGGTCGGGTCTGCCCCGTAGGTGCTCATTAACCACAGGTTGTCTTTCAAGGGACGCCGAGTGGGCAGGGGCCCCGCGCTCACCTGCCTGATGATATGCGAGGGAAGGTGCACGCTGAGCTTCCTGGAAGCTGCTCAAGCTCAGAAAAGCAACCCTGATGGGAAAGACTTGGGGCGCTGAGGCTTCCTTGGAAGCTCAGCCCCTTACCCAGGAAGCTTCTCACTGTTACACAATACAGACCTGACCTACTTCCTGTTGTGCCTGCTCTGGAACTAGGGGATTCAAGGTTATTCCTGCTCCAGCAGAGAAATAGCTAAAGATTTCAAACTTTACCAAGCGTAGACAATAAGGAATAAAAGACTTTAAAATTTACAGTTTGAAAGAGAGATGTGAAGAGCAAGACAGAGACAATTTCCTGCCTGACTTAGATTCAGAGACACGCTGCACGTTAGGCACCAGAGGGGTTGTGCCAACAACACGGGAGCTTTTGTGGGTTTTGAGGCAGAGTCTCGCTGTGTAGCCCAGACTGGCCTCAAACTAGCTGCGATTCTCCTGCCTCAGCCTCCTGAGTCCTGGGACTAGGCGTGTGCCACCATGCCCGACTCTTTTTCTGTCTTTCTTCTTGTTTTTGGTTTTTTGTATTTAGACAAGGGCTCACTATGTTGTCCAGGCTGGCCTCGAACTCCTGGGCTCAAGCAGTCATCCCAATTCAGTCTTCCAAGTAGCTGGAACTATTAAATATGTGCCACCGTGTCTGGAAATAAAGGATTTTTTTAAAAGATGGCACCAGCATGTGTGCTTTGAAGTAAATCTTTGTTATTCTCATAAATAGAGAAAATTTATTAGATGACAACTTAATATTGTCTGTCGAGGATTTAAAATACCCATTCATGTGACTCAGAAATTTTACTTGTAGGAAATTTCACTCAGGAAATTCCTGCGTGTGTCCAGACGCAAGTGGGAATGTTCCTTGTACCTGTGTGCTATTTTGGGGGGGGGGGGGGTTACCGGGGATCAAACTCGGGACCTTGCACTTGCAAGGCAGACGCCAGAACCACTGAGCTAAATCCCTGGCCCCATCCTGTGTGCTATTTTTAATAGCAGAAGAGTGGAAAACAGCTTCATTATCCTTCATCGTCCATTCCTCAAGCCTGGTCAATGTTTAGGGCACAGCTCTGCAGCCCTTACACTGTGCCCAGGCAGCAGGAAGAAACTGATAAGCACTGGCCTAAGGCGATCTCTACTCTCAAGAAAGCTGCAAAATAATGCATACACTTCGCGTTCATTTTTTTTGTAAAGAATATATAGAGCATTGCCTTCTTTTTAGATGGAGATTTACTGTTTAATGTGTATAAAAATTATTCTGGTAATAGAGACTGTTGATCTACATTTTATTTTCTTTTGTGTTCTGCTTTTATATCAAGGACATCGTATACTGCCTTTTCAACAACGATAATGAAAGCAAAAAACCAAATGTAAAAGTTTCAATTATCTGAACATGATAAATATCTGAAATGGTGGATATGCTAATCATCCTGATCTGGTCTTTACATATTACATCCGTGTATTGAAATGTCATATGGTAACCTATGTATTTGTGTGTTTTGTTTTGTTTTGCTTTGTTTTGTTTGAGACTGGGTCTTACTAAATTGCCCAAGCCTTAAACTTGTAATTCTCCTGCCTCCGCCTCCCAGAGTACTGGGATTACAGGTGTGCATCACCACACCTGGCCTATATCCTATATGTGTGTACTATTCCTAGATGTCAATTAATAATACAATAAGTATACATTTTTAAAAGTCTCTTTCAGTCTCGTGCTCACTATACTCTCTCACCACAGGGCCCTTTCACATGCTAAAACAGTAGGCAACATGCCTTCCCTTCCTCCTACGTCCAAGTTCTTTAAGTCTCACATAGCTTCCCTGACCTCCCAGAGTAGGTCACTCATTACACAACTTGTAAGAGTGGAAGTTTTGCCAGGTATGGTGGCACATGCCTGTAATCCCAGCACTTGAGAGGCTGAGGCAGGAGGAAAACTAACCTGGGCTACATAGTGAGTTCAAGACCAGCCTGGGCTACATAGCAAGACTCGGTCTCAAAAAACAAAAAATAAATAAAACTTTTTTCAAAGCATGGAAGTTTTATACTTTTTGTGTGCTAATTTAATGAACACTTTGAAAGCGAATACAGCATTTCACAGATGGACTATCTCAAATTTCATGGAATAGGCCTATGTGAGAATAGACAAAAATTTGATTCTGAGCTCAAAACAAACAAAATCACAATCTTGTGTCAAAAAACTAACTAGCTAAATAGGAGGTCTGGTGGTACAATCCATTAGTGCACAGTACTTATACAAAATTAGCTAAATACATTTAAATTGTTTAAATTCCATATTTGGAAAGACTTTTGTTGAATTTAAAGTCACATAAGCTATTTTATCAGGTTTTATTTGTTAGCTTTCTCCGTTGAACACAACTGGCTTCCCTTAAAAAGCAGCTTGAGAGCTATCTGGTCAGGCTTTACTCTGTCCTTAGGTATGGATGTGTTCTGTCTCACATCTTCTTAAATTTTACCTTTTTAAAATTACATAGCAGCTTTTTAGTTTTGGTTTGGGTTTTGCTTTGGTTTTTTGAGACAAGATCTCACTATGTAGTTCAGGCTGGCCTCGAACTCACAGCAATCCTCCTGCCTCAGCCTCTGGAGTACTGGGACTACAGGGCTGTGCTACCATGCCTGGCCTGTATGTCAGCTTTTGACTGTAGTTATTTTGCTAATATGATATGCAAGGTTGTGTTGTAGAATGCTGATTTTATTTATTTAATCCTTGTTTTGGTTTGTGTTGTTTATTTGGTTTTGGGTTTTATGAGACAGGGTCTCACTGTGTAGCCCACCCTGGCCTTGAACTCACAGCGTTCATCCTGCCCCAGCCTCCCAAGTGCTGCAGTTACAGGCATGCACCATCATACCCAGCAAGTCTGCTAATTTTATAAGAAAGAGAAGTTGTTGCACGAATACAGCTTCTAAAGGGGACAAAGTCGAGTCAGTGGTACACTGCTAAATGTTAACTTGACTTTCATAAAAATACCACATAAACGAACATGTGCTTACTACAAATGTCACTGAAATAAAGGGTGTCTAAGGCCAAACTCCCAAGTAATGAAGTGTTTTTATTGTTCAAAAAGCTTTAGTGACCAATTTATTTAGAGAAAATTTCTTAAATGAGTAAGTGATCTCTTCCATGTTAGATACAGCCAATGCTATGGCGTCTGGGTGGTGTGCCTATTTTTCATGTAAGTTAACTTGGAAACATTATAGCAATATTATCATAACATACACTAAAATATGTTTTCCAGGGCTGGGGATTTAGCTGAGTGGTTTTGCCGCCTGGTGTGCAAGCGCAAGGACTCGAGTTCGATCCCCGGTACCAAAAATATATATATATATGTTTTCTTGGGAATGAAGTTCAGGAGGGGCAAATATTTTGCAGCAAATGGGGGACTTTTCATTTTTTACATGCCTTTGCTGTTTAATCCTTTTATAAGAGTACTTTATTATTTTATAATAAATTCTTCTAGCTGGGTGTGGTGGTGCATGCTTGTAATCCCCGCAAGACCCTGTCTCACACACACACACACACACACACACAAACACACACAGAGAACTAGTGAGGAGTAGAACGAAAATTGGAATCTAGGTATATTAATCCCAGCTCTCAGTAGCTCAGCCACTTCGATATCGGGCTGCCCTGGGGCCAGACTTACCCCAAAGCCCTCTGGGGGTGGCATGATGCTGTCATCATGAGCTGGAAAACTACATTTTATGAGCATACAGTGCTAGCTATTCTGATTTTTGTGCTCCTGTAATATCTTGCTTGTTTATTTGTTTGTTTGGTACTGGGGATTGAACCCAGGGCCTCCACGCTGAGCTACATCCCCAGCCCTTTAAAAACATTTTATTTGTATCAGTGTCCAGCTACATTGCTAAGTGGCTCAGACTGGGCTCAAACTTGTGATCCTCCCTCAGCCTCCCGAGCGCTGGGATCAGAGGTGTGCACCACCACATCCTGCTCCTATAGTATCTTACATTCTCTTCTATCATGACAATTAACCAAAAAAATGAAATTATGTATTCATGTGTCTCCCCTACTGGCATATAAGTATTTATAGGACAAGATTAGCTCTATTCATAGTCCAATTAGTGTGTCTAAATCATACCTTATGTTCAATAAATGTGATGATTCAAAAAATGGATAAGAAAATACCCTGCCTTTTGTCCAGCTTGGATATAGTGTTTTTTCTCTATTTAATAAGAAATATTTATTGCACACTGACCCTGTACTAATGTTCTAGCTGATAATTTATATGACTTCACTAAGAAAATGAAAGTATTGTTCTTATAGACTTTAATTCTAGTGAGGAGATGGATAACTCCTAGTAAACATAACAGATAAGTAGTTTATATCATTTGGTAAGACATGGCATACATCATGGAGGAATTATGACAAGGAAGACATACTTTTAAAAAATCTACCAAGAAAAGCCCAGGAAAACCTACAGCATGAGAGGAAATTTTGCCAGCTGTTCCTCAGATAGAGGACTAATACCTAGAATATAGAAGGAATTCAAAATATTAACCCCCCTTCCAAAATAGAAGACCCTATCAAAAATGAGTAACTGCAATGAACAGACAGTTCCCAGAGGAAGTACAAATGGGCAAAAATACATGAAAAAA